GCTTAACCGGTCCGAACACATCAGAGTGAACCAACTCCAAAGGTTCTTTTGCTTTAAATTTCGACTCGTCATATGGTAATTGGTGTACTTTACCATACTGGCATCCCGCACAGACCGTGTCTGTTCTCACGTCTAGTTGAGGAAGCCCCTTAAGCATCGACTTTTTCACCATCACACTTAGCTTGGAATAGCTAACGTGACCTAACCGCATGTGCCATAGATCTGATGTCTCATTTTTCCTTGTCCTGTCTACATATGCAGACTCTGCTGACATCACGTAAATTGATTCCAAACGTCGTCCCTCCATTGTTGGTGTTTCTGAGATTTTGACGTCACGATAAACCTTCACGTCTTGGGGACCAAATAAGACATAATGACCTGATGATGTTAGTTGAGCCACAGATAGCAAATTTTTCTTCATTCCTGGGACATGGTAAACATCTTGGAGTTGCACCTGGTTAGTATTATATCGAGGAGTAACTATTGTCTTACCGATGTGAGTTAACGGTAACCTTGAGTTGTCAGCTGTCACCACCACACGACCTCCATTGTACTCAGACAGGTTTTGTAACTTCTGTTTGTCACCCGTCATATGATTTGAGCAGCCAGAATCTACGATCCAATCATTCTTGTAGTCAATCCGTTCTGGTGTTGTTACCGTGAGAGCTAATTCTTTTTCCTCCGTAGCAAATAACGCTTCAGCATCCCAACCATCTTCACTATTCTCCTTCGAACAAGAAGTAGCAGTATTACTTTCAACAGGCTTTTTCTTGATCCAACAGTCTTTTGCCATGTGGCCCAACTTACCACAATTGTAACACTTGCCATCGAACTTTCTACTATTACCGCGATTCTTGGAAGCTCCCCCTGAATGAGGGCCTCCCTTTCCTTGGTAATTTTTCACCTTGTCACCATCCTTTTTAGATCCATTGCCAGTATACCGCTGAAAAGTGCCTCTGCTTTTGCTGGTGTAGAGCGCTTCCTCTTCACCCTTCAGCGAGACTCATCCCATTTGCTTGGCCATGGCTTCTTGACCTGCAAGCAAATTTTCGAACTCAACAAGCGATGGTTGTGTTGGCCATCCCTGTACAGCGGCAACAAACCCTCGATATTCGGGTCTCAAACCATGAACAATTATTCTTTTTATCATGGCTTCCCCAATAGCAGCTGTCGGATCTAATTCTGAAATTTCACAGCATATCGACTTCACCTTGTGAAAGTATTGGGCAACCGCCATGTCGCGTTGCGCCATTGATAGAAGTTCATTCTCAAGAAGTTGCAATTTTGTATCGTTCCTCTTTGAAAAGAGTGTAACAAAAGTGTCCCATGCTTCCTTTGGTGTTTTAGCATCCCGAATGTGCTCCAACATTTCTTCTTCAATTGTGGTCTTTAAAGCAAACATTGCTTTGCCTGCTTTAATTTTCCACTTTCGCAAGATTCCATTGGCATCTTCTGTCGCCGGTTGTGTAACTTCACCACCACCGACAACCTCCCAAAGGTCCTGACCTTGTAAGTATAACTCCATACATGTTGCCCACGTGTTGTAGTTTTTGTTGTTGAGCTTCTTGATTCCCCCAACTACTTGAAGATCACCCATCTTAACGGCAAGGCTTTGACTACACCGAACAAGCTTGAGTAACAAACGTGCAGAGTACTAAATTACTCTAAACACAAAGAAGCTCCACAAGGTTTGTAATAACCTCGACAATAACTCAAGAAATATTTTCTGATGTGGAATATCAGTTAAAAACTGCAGCCACAGAGCATACTCAGAATTTCAAGAGATCTTTAAAACGTGGCTCTGATACCAATTGTAGAATCAAAATAGAGTAAAAACTCTAATTGATCGAGAAAAAAAAACTCTCTTTAGAATAATCTCACAAAATTGCTAAAGGGAAGAACTCTTAAGAAAGCTTTCAAATGCTTATAATTAAGCTTTGATTGTTGGATGATAAAACTCAAATACAAGTAGGGTATTTATAGGTTACAAGAAACAATCTAAACCACTCATTAAAATAAACACTAAATAATCTAAACCATTGAAATTAAAACATGAGAAAAATACTTAATTTTCACCTAACTAAATTGATGTAAGCAATGACATCAAAACTAAATTGATGTAAGTAATGACATCAAATTAATTTAGGTATGAACATATAGGCTAATATTGAATTTTCAACACTGAGTACTCGTTAAAATGAGATAAGACCGCATTGCTGTCTTGTAGCCTTCCCAAGCTGCAAGTTATGGCACACAATCAAATTATAAAAAAGACCTATAATAATACAGGAATAAAGATTGCTACTCAAATCTAAGCTACTATTTTTGCAATCAAAATCAAGGAAAAAGCATAACAGTATATATAAGATAGTTTGCACTACATTCAATTGTAATAAATCCATAATCGTTTTGGTAGAGTACACTATTCCTGTTTTTTGTCAGGACAAAAATTTATCCACAAAACAAACATGTAAAGTGGATTCAGCTTGATACGTGACTCTTCTAAGTCATATATACTATATATATATAAACTATATAATTTATATTAATAAACTATATAATTTATACAATATATATTATTTATAATTATACATAATATATAAATATAAATTGTATAGTTTATATATAATTCATATATAATTTATATATAAACTATGTAGTTTCTATATAGTTCAATAGTTCATATATAAACTATATAGTATTATAGTTTATACATGGTATATATAGTTTATACTTTATACATAATATATATATATATATAAACTATATAGTTTATATTATATATATATCTATATTAGTTGTTTTAATTTTTTTTTCTCAACTTATTACTTATTTCTATTTATTAATTGGATCATAACTTTTTAAATGAGTATAATTTAGTACATTTTTATATTAATTTAATCTCAAAATTTAAAATTATTTCGATTTGATCTCTTTTGTGTTGTTTAATATATTTAAATTTTTATTTATTATTTCATATTTATTCAATTTAATCCTCCAAATTTTATTTGCACCTGAAATTGACCCATACTTATTACTTATTTCTATTTTTAAATTGGCCCATAACTTTTTAAATTGGTATAATTTAGTACTTTTTGTATCAATTTCAACCTCAAAATTTAAAATTATTTTGATTTGATCCCTTTTGCGTTGTTTAATATATTTAAAGTTTTATTTGTAATTTAACATTTGTTCAATTTAGTCCTCCAAATTTTATTTGCATTTGAAATTGACCCATACTTATTACTTATTTCTATTTTTAAATTGGCCCATAACTTTTTAAATGGGTACAATTTAGTACTTTTTTGTATTAATTTCAACATCACAATTTAAAATTATTTTGATTTGATCCCTCATCAATGTGTGTTGTTTAATTTATTTAAATTTTTATTTGTAATTTCATATTTGTTCAATTTAGTCCTCCAAATTTTATTTGCATATGAAATTGATCCATACTTATTACTTAATTCTATTTTTTTAATTGTCCCATAACTTTTTAAATGGGTATAATTTAGTACTTTTTTTGTATTAATGTCAACCTCACAATTTAAAATTTTTTCGTTTTGATCTCTCATCAATGTGTGTTGTTTAATTTATTTAAATTTTTATTTGCAATTTCATATTTGTTCAATTTAATTCTTAAATTTGTATTTTTCATAAAATTGAACCATGATTATTTATATTCTTAGTAATTTACTCTAAATCATATACAATTATAAATTGCAATTCAACGTTCGCGAAAAACGAAAATAATTAATCCAAAAATAAAAATTAACCCGATTTGAACTCAATCCGTATCTGATAGAGATCCGACCTGAATTTTATCTGCCAATGATGTAACCCGATCTGAATGAGATCCGCCTGAAGTCCATCCGAACCTGAATTAACCTGCTTTTTAACTGCTTCGGACCTGATCTGTTTTGACCTGAACTGGCAACGATCCGAACTGAAAATGACCTGACCTGAACCCGATCTGGATCTGGTGCCAAATCGACCTGAAAATAACCCGAACTGATTTGACATGACCTGAACCCGATCTGGATCTGGTGTCAAATTTACCTGACTTGACCTGCATCCGATTTTACCCGACCTGCCAGGATCCGACTGAAACCTGAACGATTACCTGATTTTACAACCCTAGACAAAACAATTACGTCAACTTCATGTCTCGAAGAAAGTTGTTCGCAAGGCAGTTCGAAAAGATTGAAACTCAGTGTTCCGATTGACAATGTTGCAACTTCTGCTTTAGTAAACCGTCTGAAGAAAGTTCTCAACAAAGCAGGGCTTGAAAGGCTCATCAGTTTTCCTATCGTGCACTGCCCCGAGTCATTCGGTGTCATCCTGAAAGCTGCGGATAGAGTAAACAATGTTGGGAAAGTAATACTGGGTTGGAAAGTTGTGTACTCTGGCGACACTCGACCGTGCTCGAAAACGATAGAAGCAACTCAGGGAGATACCATTCTTATGCACGAGGCAACATTTGAGGATGGCATGGCCAGGGAGGCCATAGCAAAGAATCACAGTACAACAAAGGAAGCCATCGATGTCGGAAACTCGGCAGCTGCATATCAGATCGTTCTTACAAAAAAATTACGGCTAGGAGATGATATTTTAGTCATGCTTGTCTAATTTGGTCTGAATTTAAATTAAATATGATTATTTTAGATTATATTATTGAAGAAATAATCACGAACTTCAAAAGAATTGGTCCAATAATAAAAGATAATGCCATTATTCTTAGAGATTTCAAATTCGAACAGATATTTTTACATGGTGTGTGCATTATCAATAGCTAAGAAAGACTGAATATATATTATCTTGCAATCACCCCAGATTATCAGTAAAAAATAACCATCGACATTTATTACCCCTAGTCCTCTTCGATTCATCCTTGATCCAAATTAAGTAGTATAAAAATCTATTATAAAAAAAATATGATTTTATATGTTATAATAATAGAGAAAATTGAACAAAAATTTAGTTGAACTTATTTTTATTAGCACTTATTAAATAATTGGTTAAATATAATGTACTAATTAAACCTACACATGTTCAGATTTGAATATAAATCTCTTCATATATTATAAGTCACTTTCACTTGAAAAATACACCAACTTAATCTATTAGTAAAAGGGAAAACAGTCAAAAAATATCAAAGGCAATATAAGAGATGAAAAGCTCACTAATTAATTGTCAATTGAAGTTCAAAGAAATGGCCTTTTAACTTTTAAAATTCGAATTTGTTGAAAGATTACAAATGTTAAAATTTAAAAATTAATATTTTCCCTATGGATAAAATGTCTAAAATCCTTAAATAAATTTCGGAAAGACATGCATTGTGGTCCCAAAGACTAGTTCAGTTAATTCGATCGATTACCAAATTAGTTTAGTTGAAGAACTGTTAATATTTTTTCAATATTCGGTTAACAATTAATTAAGTGAATTAACCGAAATTATTAAATACTATATATATATATATATATATATATATATATATATATATATATATATATATATATATGTTTTAAGCTCAGACCCATTAATAACTAAGATACAATTATTTTTTAATCACACTAGACTCTTTAAATTATCATTACCTAATTAAATTTTAAACTAAATAAAAAATACTTCTATTATATTCAAATTAATCTAATTAAAATATTATTAAAAAATTTTGGTTAATTCGTTAACCGATTGAAATAATAGAACTTTATTTGGTTCGGTTAATTTTTCAAAAAATAAATTAATTCGGTTAACAATTAAAAAATTCGATTAATTCAGTTAAAAAAATTCGGTTCGCGATGACCGAATTAACCGTTTGAATACCCCTAACTATATAGCCGTACCAAACCCATGCACAATAAAATTCAAAGAATCAAACCTAACATTGACTTGTGTTTATAATAATGTGAAACTTCAACCTTCATTTTTTCAAAGTCTAAACATGGATTTCAGCACACTGTTTTGTCAACAAAAAGTTATTAAAATTCGAATTTATTTGTCCATGAAATTTAGAGTTTGGAAATTACTAACGAGGATGCTTCCGATTGTAGTTGGAACAGTTCATGATTTTAGCTGTCACCGGGGAAAATGTGATCAAAAGCATTGACTGACGAGGCAGCATTCATATGCTTTTCAGATTTTCCTGGAAAATGCAGTGACACCAACAAATACAAAGAAGAAAATGCAGAATATAAATGTTCCGAATTACTTGCGAAACGTCGAAGAAAAGATATATTTCTCGGAATCGAAAATCATATATGATTATGCAATCTAAAACTTATGTATGAGTTCAGTTCCCTAAGCTTAGCATAGTATAGAAGCATCAGTTAAGCTTTCTCGTATTAGAGACATCAAAACTTTCATTAGAAAAGCTATATAGTAAGGGCGCTATCGCTGACAAAAATCGAGCACTCCGCGACAGTAAGATCAGGACTGAAGGTGAAATCGATGATCAGACCTTGGGGGATTTTCGAGAATGTATTCCAGCAGAGACTTCTCCAGTCATTTGTTAGTGGTATCGGCAGCACCATCGACATCCTTCTCGGAATATGCTTGCCCTGACATAGTTTGATGAAGACACTACAAAGAAATGAGACGAAAACGTTAGGAAACTGCTCATTACAAGTGACTAGGGTCGTAGCTTACCGTCATAAAATTAACATATAATACTCCAGTATTACTGCATTGTCATGATATAGGATGTCTCATAGATTAGAAGAATCCCAGCTCGCATATACAGCCCCAATGATTTTATCATGCAGTATCGGCCCAGAGCAAGCAATAATCCCCCGGTCAAGACCTTCTAAGTACAATCCCCGACTGAAGTCCAAGGGGCAAACTCCTGCATCCGTTACAACCCCACCAGCCTCTTCTACGATGACAACACCAGCAGCGTGATCCCATATCTTCTCTTTATACCCAGATCTTGCAAACTTTATAAAAACCTCAGCGTTTCCCCGAGCTATTGCTGCATATTTTACCATGCTATGGACTCGCATAGGTTGGTTTCTGGCATTAGAATGTACGAAAAGATACATTAGGATCAAATAAGAAGGTTGCCTCATAAAAGCTATATAATTTCTAACCAACATTCTAATTTAGTCCTCTCAGATATTAACATTTTCCGAACTTCAGAAACAGAATGAATAAGGAAATTCAGTTCATTAATGTAATAGCGAGAATGAAATTTATAAATGAAGTGGGAGAGAAAATAAAAGTAACACACTTGAGACCCATGCTGTTAGCAAGACCCGCCGTAAACAAGTGGTTTGAATTTGTCTTTTCCACGGGTTCACAAAAAGTCGCCAGAGATGGGTCATCAACAGGAGAAGCCTGTACCAACGTAGCAGAATTTGGCCATTCAAATTGTGTATCCCCTTGGATCAATGGTTGCATCCATGCCCGACCACTTCCTCTCCGTGCATATATCACACATCCTTTTTTCCAGATATCAGAAGATGGTGGAGTCTTCGGTATAGTTTGGCCGTGCTGATGATTATAATTCGACAATTCCTTTTTCATAGGGTAATTAGGACACCCAAGAACTCCGAGAACTACCTTCCCATCCTCGATCAAGGCTAGCGCTACAGCATACTGGTCACCACGTACAAATCCCAGTGTCCCGTCAACTGGGTCCAGCACCCAATGTGTTCCAGTTGGGCCCCCAGTTGAGTTGCATCGATTGATAGCCTCAAGGATTTGTGAAGTCTCGAGAGCTTTCTTTGGACACTGAAGACCATACTTTGGTGCTTCAGCTAAGCATTCATTCACAGTGTTCACAACAGCTGCAAGTAAACTTGCTGCATCCGGCTTGGAGAGTGTTTACCCTCTGACCAAACCGTGGCTCGTCCACTGCCCATGACAGAGAAAAGTGATTCTATTTCCTTTTCTTAATGTAGCTTTATTTCACGTGGGGCTGTTATGGTTTAATTTCTTTCAATTTTGGTTTTTAATGATCTTCTGGAAAAAAAAATCCTTTTAACCAACCTTGATGTGCCACGTCAGAATGTGAAGGAATGAGGACCGTCCGATGTCATGTGAATATGATGGTGGGTGTAAAGTTTTGGTATAAAATAAATTATGGTCCCGAATTCTGGTGTTTATGATGATATGATACTGGTACACTCAAGGTGCCACATTACAGTTGTAGTATAGAGAGGTCGGACGTTCTAGTAGTTGTAAAGAAAGGCTTCTAGAAGGAGGGGTTTTTAACTAAAAGTTGTTAGGCATTTAGATCCGTTGAGAAATGATCACATAATATACTGTTAAAAAAAGTGTTATCGGTTTTATTATTATTTAAATAACAAAATCGCTAAAAAAATTATCGAAAACATTATTATTTCTTCCGGTTTTGTTATTATTGGGTGTTTTATCAGTTTTGGTAAAGCGTTACCAGTTTTGTTATTTTTTCTACCGGTTTTGTTATTTTTTCTACTGATTTTGTTATTATTGGACGCTTTACAGGAAATATTAAAAAAACATTGATATTTTAGATAAAAATAATAATATTTTAAATAAATTTTTACTGATTTTATTATTTAAATAATAATAAAATCGATGACGTCTTTTTTTAACCTTATATTAAGAGTGCCACAGTATATAACTTCCCTCGTTGGATAACTGCATGGTGTGTGTAGGTTAAATAGTGGTGTACTGCTACTCTTCAATATAGATTAGCTTTACAATAAAATAAGCTTTGCACATATACTTGTTTACTGTTCAATAATTACTAAAAGGAATAAAAGTAAAAATATTACTATCGAATTTAGATATTATTATAAAAATTAATTAAAGATTAAGTTAAAAAATTATTGAACTTAAATGTTTAAAACCATTTTATTACAAAAAGTTTAATTAAAAATAATGATATCTTTTAAAGTTTAGAGAATGTTACTAAAGGGACTCACTGATATGTTGGCAATTGATTACAATTATTTTTAATCATTTCTATTTAATTATTATGGAACATTATTTCCAATTTTAGTTGTTTCATTTATAATATTAGCGTTTAAATTTACAATTATCTTCTAAAGTTCAAGAATCAATGTGCAAAAAGATGGAAAAAGAAGAAGGGTAAACTACGTATTTAGTATCTAAACTATCAGTTTTGGTCTGTTTTAGTATCTAAACTTTCAATTTTTCAAAATCGTACTTAGTGTTTATTTTTGGTCGTCAAAAGCTTAACATGTCTAGTATCTAAACTATCAGTTTTGATCTGTTTTGGTACCTAAACTTTCACCTTTTTTTTCAAAACTTAATGTTACATTTTGAACGGGGTACTAAAACGAAACAAAAACTAAAATTTTTAACGATAGGTACTAAAATGAAACAAAAACTAAACTTTAGGTATAGTTTTGAAAAATTGAAAGTTTGGGTACTAAACTGAGAGTTTAGGTACTAAACGTCTAAATTAGTCTTTAAACTTTTAAACATTCCAATTTCATCTTCAAACTATGACCCTCGTTCTAAATTAGTTCACAAACTTTTGAATCATCAAATTTCATTCTCAAATTCATCCAAATATACAATTAATTTCAAACGTCTAATGATATAGTATGGCCTAACCTGATTTTTATTAGCATCATGTAGTTTGGTATGAAACGAAAGTAATAGATTGGTAGTTTGGAATCTAAAATTAATTAATATTGATAATATTGGTACAAGTTCATTAAAACGTGGAGACATTTTAAGGTTTTGCACCATCAAGATATCAACGTCGTGCCTGCAACTTAATTACAAGCCCCCAACCGTTTCCCCAAGTAAAATCATCAAACATTATTGCCAAATGGCCAAAGATCAACATCAACACACACTTTCAAGGATTTCGTTCGTCGACGTACGTGTCACGTATCTAACGGTTGTTGATGCCAGATTTGTTGACATTTAACGTTACATTTGGTCTATATAAACCCCACATACATCCTCGTTAATGTTTGAATTTAAAGGATGGTATGATCTTTCTTTGTGCGGCCTGAAAATGGCGTGCTTTTGTTTCCTGGTGGACCAGAGGCGGAAGCTGATGAGCAGCAAGCCGGTCGCCGGGATGTGCTCTCGGTGCGGCCGAGCGGCGAGCGTCGGGGACATGAAAACGGTCACCCGATTCTGTTATGTTCCGTTTTATTGGAGGTCTTGGAAAGCTATAATCTGCACATTTTGTGGAGCTGTTCTTAAATCTTATAGGTGAAGTTGAGAGCTCGTCTCTTTTTGCCTTTCCTTTTTCGATTGTGTACATCAGCTGATACGCTAACAACAGTGTTTTTTAATTCAATAAACGAGATTAAGAAACTGAATAAGATATTTTTTCGGGATTCAAAATCTTGTCATAAATTTTAGGTTGCTGTTGAGATATTTTCATTGCTTGTTGTTACGCATTTTTTAATGGCGGGGAGGTGGAGGAGGAGGAAGCGAATTATATATATTGATTTCATGTTGATCGGATGGTTGATAATATATATAAGAGTGGTTAGGTTTTATGAATTTTGGGTTTAGGGTCGAGTTTTATGACTTTTAAAGTGATCTTGGTAAAATCTAAAATGATAAAAGCGGTATGAGACAATGAGACGAGTTCGTCGATATATCTTAAGTGATAAGAAAAGAAACCAGAGAATGATAATTGTAAAACTTTCATCTTTAAAGGAATACGATAAAATCGAAAAGGGAGAAATGATGTGGATGACACATGGATTCAATGTCAATAAAAATAGTTCATATCAAAATATATGACTGTCATATCATCCTTCCATTTATGATTTAATGCCAATGTAATCAAAATACGAACGAATTGAAAGTGTAATAAAAACTTTTAACAGTTATTTATTGGAAGCAAATAACAAGTAAAGACTTGCACTCAACTTTCGTGGTATTATTATTATTATTATTCATTTTAACTCTGCTTTGCTTTGCCACCACACTGAAGGTCAAGGTGGAATATGGCAGCCGTTAGGATCTTTACAGCCAATTGGAGGAGGTTCACTTGGAGGATCTCCTGCAAAATTAAAAGTCATACAATTCCCATGTTATACATATATATATCAATGTAACTGGGTAATGATTTAAGGACGGATACATAATTTTATGTTAAGGAAACGAATATAAACTTATAAAATTTCAAAGAACGAATTTAAACTTATAAAATTTCATAATTTTATGGAGGAGGTTCCTTGGCATTGAACACAAAGCACCCAAGCTCATTTGATTGTAATTGGACGATGCGTGTGTATATATCGCTTATAATAATATAAAGGGTATATTATAAATTTCATCACTCAATTTTTTTCTCTCTTATTTTAGCCACTAAAATTTATTTTTTTTAATTTATTCATTGAACCTCCGATTGACTCTTTCGGCCAATCTTCTGTTAAATACTTAACAGATTCGTGACTAAATATTTTTCTTTTAAAAATTATGAAATTACTCCAAAATTTTCATTTTTCGTGAAAAAAAATCCTAGTTTCAAATTTTCTTTGATTTCTCGATATGAGGCATCTTCTTCCAAATTCCAATGGTGCAAAGGTGGAGGAGGAGGAACCGAGTTGTATATCTCCATTTCAAGTTGATTGGGTGGTGGATATTATAGATCAGAGTGGTTTGAGGTTTCATGAGTTTTTTGGTGTAGGGTTGAATTTTATAAGTTTTAAAGTGATTTAAGTAAAATCTAAACTGATAGAGTTATACGATACAATGAGACGAGTTTGTTGATATCTTGAGTGATCAGAGAAGACACTAGAGAATGATAATTACAGCATTGACATGATACATATATAAAATTATAAAACTTTCATCTTTAAAGGGGAAAAAAGATGAAATCAGAAAGGGAGAAAATGACATTGAAGACAAGTGGATTCTATGTCAATAAAAAGCAGTCTACATTAGAGAATGATAATTACAGCATTGACATGATACATATATAAAATTATAAAACTTTCATCTTTAAAGGGGAAAAAAGATGAAATCAGAAAGGGAGAAAATGACATTGAAGACAAGTGGATTCTATGTCAATAAAAAGCAGTCTACATTAGCACGTATCTTTCCATTTATGATTTAACACCCAAGTGATAAAAATAGGAGCAAATCGAAAGTGTAATGAGTCAATTAATTTTTTTTAAAACTTTAGTGAGCAAAATAGGAGTGAGAAGAAAGCTGAGTGATAGAATTTATATTTTACCCTAATCTAAAAAATGATTGGAAATTAACATAAAAGTTTAAATTTGATGATCTTACTTTTCTCGAGGCTTCCTCGAGCCATGATGAAAGTGGAGATAAAGATAATGGAAACGATGAGAATTCGCAGTATAACAAATGATGCCTTCATTTTGGATATTGTTGCTGATCAGCTGGTAGTTTGGTTTAACCAACCCTTCTCCACAGCTATTTATAGACCAATATTGAATGCAAACCATACTACTTTTCAAAGATAATTCATGCAAAACCAGCAAATTTGACAAAGGACGGGCTGAAGAAATTTCCCTGGAAATTGGATTGCAATGAATGCAGGACCAATTTTTCTACAAAAAAAAGAGGAGAAAAAATCGAAATGAACCATTTTTCTGTTAATTCTATTAATCAATAGTACTTTCCCTGGATAAAAAGTCTAAATTTTTCTTCGGTAAGAAGTCCAAGTTAAATGAACCATTTTTTACGCGGCATTTGTGGTAGTGTGCTGTTGAGAGGTACTGATAGGACCGGTGGAATCTTCAACCATATTGCTTGTTCTGTGAAATTTCATGGTTTACCTTTTTTTCTATGGTCCATTCTACTGGAATGGATTGTCTGGCTATTTCAGTTGAGCCTTTCTTGGTAACTCGACAGCCAAACTCAAATGGAGAACACTTTCCTCAGCTCAGTTCTTCTCATCATCTTCCATCTTTCCATGGCTACTTTCTCAATGAATTTAACCTCCATACTCACAGACCAATCGGCTCTTCTTGCACTGAAAGACTCTGTCGCCCACGATTCCAAAAATATATTGGCAACTAATTGGTCTGCCTCCACTCCTGTCTGCAATTGGTTCGGTGTCAGCTGTGGATCCAGGCACCACAGAGTCACAACTCTAAACCTTTCAGGATTAGAACTCACAGGCACCCTTCCACCCCACATGGGAAACCTATCATTCCTTTCCTTTCTTTCCATCAAAGATAATAGCATTCATGGCGGTTTACCGGTTCAATTATCGAATTTGCACCGGCTGAAACACATAGACTTTGGTAACAACAGCTTCACCGGAGAAATTCCGTCGTGGTTCGGATCATTAACTGAACTCCAAGAACTGTATCTGCACGTTAACAACTTCAGTGGTGTCATTCCATCTTCTTTAGGCTACTTGCCGAAGCTAGAGAAGTTGAGCTTGTATGAAAACCAGATTTCGGGTTCAATACCATCCTCCATCTTCAATATGTCTTCGTTGCAGGGTATTGATCTAAGCAATAATATGCTCTCCGGTCCCATACCCTTCATTAAACTGGATTTGGTTTCGCTGGAATTCATCAATTTCAACTACAACAATCTCACTGGCCTGTTTCCAAAGGATATGTTTGATCATCTTCCTAATCTGAAAACTCTATACTTGAGTGGTAACATGCTTTTTGGTAGAATTCCAAGCAGTTTATTCAACTGCAAAAAGTTACAAACGTTATTCCTGTCGACTAACCAATTGGAGGGGAGTCTACCGGCAGTAATTGAGAATTTGAGTATGCTTCAGTCCTTGGATATTAGTCATAATCACTTTGAAGGTAACTTACACTAACATTTCTTTATGCTTCAATTTTAAGATTTTTTTTACTGCAAAAAAAAGAGTAGGAGAATTTTGAATTTGATTTGTGAATTTTATCATTGCAGGTCAAATTCCAGAACAAATTGCAAATTTAACACTTCTTAGGGAGTTTGATGGTTCCCATAACAACTTCACAGGTGAATGAATAAAACATAACTAATTTACTTTTAAATTATTTTTTAATTTCTAGCTTTTTATGCTAAATTTCAATTATTGTGTTTTTAATCACAATCAAGATGCATTAGCAAAAAAAAAGATTTCCAAGCATCATAAAAGGCGTTTCAATTGAATCATGTTTAGAATGAAAACAGTGAAAACTGTATGTAAGTTGCAGAACTTTATATTATCATCAGTTCATCACGTTGAAGTCTCTTTTTTTTTTTTTCCTTCTTCTCGCATGTTGGTCTAATGTATTTGACTGATAAAATTTGTTGCAGGTACAATCCCACAACTGATTGGCAACCTAAAGAATCTAGAATTCTTGAGTTTGGGTGTTAACAATCTTGTTGGTCCCATTCCTCCAGAGATATTCAATTCATCATCTCTGCAAGTCATTTCTTTGCTATTAAATCAGCTCTCTGGTCGTCTTCCGTCAAACATGGGGCTTTGGCTTCCAAACCTGGAATATCTCCTTCTTGGGAGTAATCAACTCAGTGGTTCTTTCCCAATGTTTATTTCCAATGCCTCTCAGCTCATTTTTCTTGACATGCCGCATAATTACTTTTCAGACTCCATTCCCGACACTCTCGGCAATCTAAGAAACTTGAAAAAACTCAACCTGGAAGTTAATAATCTAACTTCCTCTGGGTTGAGCTTTCTCTCTTCTTTGACAAACTGTAGAGGCTTGGAAGTCGTGGATTTCGGAAACAACCCATCGATCAGCGGTAAACTTCCGGGTTTGGTAGGAAATCTTTCAAACACTCTTCTGAGATTCTTCGCTGCTAGGTGCAACATCAGTGGTAGCATACCGAGTCAGTTCGGTAACTTAAGTCGCTTGATAGCCATAAAGCTAGATGACAATAAATTGACAGGAACGGTTCCTACTGCAATTGGAGGATTAAAAGAGTTGCAGAGTCTCTCTCTTTCGGGCAATAAGTTGGAAGGACCGATCCCGTCCGAGTTATGTCGTCTAAACAAGTTGGCTTTCTTGTTCTTGACCAACAACAAGTTGTCCGCACCGGTACCTACTTGTTTGGGTGATCTTGTTTCTTTGCGGCAGCTCCTCCTTGGCTCCAATATGTTTTCTGGCTCAATACCTTCAACCTTGATGGGGCTTAATGATTTGCTGATCCTGAACTTGTCTTCAAATTATCTCACTGGTCCTCTTCCAATTGATATTGGAAAGTGGAAGGTTGTGAATAGTTTGGATTTGTCGAACAATCAGTTTTCGGGTGATATCCCGATTAGAATAGCCGATCTCAAAGACCTCACTTATTTTTCTTTATCCGATAATAGAATCACAGGTTCTATTCCTGAGTCATTTGGTGAATTGTTGAGCTTGGAATCCTTGGATTTGTCAAGAAATAATCTATCCGGAGAGATTCCCAAGTCCTTGGATAAACTTCATTATCTCAAATATTTCAATGTCTCTTTCAATAGACTGCAAGGAGAAATTCCTGATGGAGGACCATTCGGAAGCTACTCGATCGAATCATTTAAGGGGAACGATGCACTGTGTGGTGCAGACCGACTTCATGTTCCAAGATGCAAAACTAAACCCCTTGGAAATTCCAAGGCAAGAACTAAGCTCATAATATATGTAGCACTACCAATTGCCTCTATAATTTTGGTGGTTGCTCTAACCATCATTATCTTGCGAAGGTCGAAGAGGAAAGGAACATCGGAAACTCCACAAGACTTGTTACCTTTAGGAATGTGGAGACAATTTTCATACCAAGAGCTTCATCAAGCCACAGATGGATTTAGTAAGAGCAAATTGCTTGGCACTGGGAGTTATGGTTCAGTATATCGAGGCACTCTTCTAGATGGAATTACATTTGCGATAAAGGTCTTCAAGTTAGAGTTAAAAGGAGCCTTTAAGAGCTTTGACGTTGAATGTGAAGTTCTCCGCAACATCCGTCACCGGAATTTAACCAAAATCATCAGTATGTGCTCCAATAATCTCGATTTTGGAGCCTTGATACTCGAGTTAATGCCTAATGGGAGTCTTGACAAATGGTTGTATTCCAACAACCATTTTCTGGATATCCTACAAAGATTGAACATACTGATAGATGTTGCATCTGCTTTGGAACATCTCCATCATCATCATACAACACCAGTGGTTCATTGCGATCTAAAGCCCAGCAACATTCTACTAGACGAAAATATGGTTGCACATTTGAGTGATTTTGGAATCGCAAAACTCTTATGTGAAGAGGATTCAATGATCCAAACCATGACCCTTGCAACGATTGGATATATGGCACCAGGTGGTCATCCTAATTTTACTCCTCTAGTTTGTAACTTTTCTTTTCATTGTCACACAACATCATTGAACACTGATATCTATTTCTCGGTAAATTCATATGCAGAGTATGGATCAGAAGGAATTGTTTCTACAAAAGGTGATGTGTATAGCTTTGGCATTCTTACGATGGAAACGATCACGAGAAAGAAGCCTACAGATGAAATGTTTGCTGCAGAAATGAGCTTGAGGAGTTATGTGAAAGAGTCGTTACCATCTATGGTACATCAAGTTGGAGACACCGAATCGGGGAGGAAACATTTAGCAGACAACAATTGTGCATCATCAATTTGCAGGTTGCCTTAGAATGCTCAACAAATATACCGGATGAAAGGCTTGATATGAAACAAGTTGTCACAAAGCTGGAAATGATTAAAGTCAACTTCTTGAAGGATATTGAATTAGGTCGATAACAAGGCTTTTGTTTCCTGGTGGACCAGAGGCGGAAGCTGACGAGCAGCAAGCCGGTAGCCAGGAGCGAGCTTCGGGGACATGAAAACGGTCACCCAACTCTGTTATGTTCCATTTAATCGGAGGTCTTGGAAAGCTGTAATCTGCACATTTTGTGAAGCTGTTCTTAAATCTTACGGATGATGTTGAAAGCTTTTCTCTTTTCCATTTGCACTGTACACACTAGCTAAAATTAAAACCATACTACTTTTCAAACATAACTGATACCATACTTTTCCGTATTATGTTTGGGATTCAGAATTCAATTATTCAAATTCGTAAAACTTGTAAAATAGACAATGGGAGGTTTCTTGAAATTTCCATGGAAGGCAATCCATTTTTCTACACCCCACCAAAGAAAATGGAGAAGAAAACTAAGTATAGCTCTCGTCTCTTTCTTTACTTTCTTTTTCTTGGAAAAATTAAAATTAAGGGAGTAATTTTTTTTCTAATAGTACGAGGTGATTATAAGATAGTATATGTTCATAATTTTTTTTAGTCATCGTACACACCCTACAAAGACATCTATTCGAATATAAGATCTCAAAGGAAAACAATTCTCTTTTTAACCACTATGATCACTCAATAGGTTCAACCCATCAATTTTTCTTCAAATGCATATAATCGAACTAAGTTAAAAAATTCATGAGCATAATTCAATAAATATCAAAATTTTATATACGATTTAACCATATCAAAATTAATATATAACATTATACGTTGAGTTAAAGTTCATATATATAAATATATTTACGGAATGGCGCACGTTTGTGGTTTTCTCTGGGTGCATGTTAGCAGGGCTAATGGAATATGAGAATCTCGTCGTGTCTCCGATAGTTTCGTCTGCCCTAACTTCCGATAGTTAGTTCAGTTACTTTTCTTTCCTCTTTAGTGTTTAATCGATCGTCTGATGGATTGGAGAAAGTTGTTTGGGTGCTCATCAGGACAAGACCTAGAGTACTTTCCTCCAAAGCTTCGAAACGGGATTCCGACAATCCTTCCTCCTCCTGAGATCTTTGAAGTCGGAATCTCTGAATGGAAGTTATCTCTATTGGGGCAATTCCTTGGTGTAGCTCCTAATTTCTCCTCATTGCAAAGGACCGTTGACAACCTGTGGATTAAGGCATTGTCGGGTTCCCGAGTGCATGTGAGTTCGACTGGTAACAATCTCTTCATTTTTTTTCTTTTAACTCTGAATCTGCTAGAGATTTGGTATTAGAAAACGGTCCATAGTACATTCAAAACAAACCTCTGATTCATAGGAAATGGGAGCCAAACATGAAAAGACTCAATTTTAACTTGTCAAAAATTTCAGTTTGGGTTCATCTTTACAACATGCCTCTAGAACTCTTTTCCCGAGCTGGATTAATTTATATAGCTAGTTCCATAGGTGTTTCCCTTTCAATGGATACAATTACAGCTTCTAAATCTATACTTGAATATACTAAAAACTGTGTTGAAATTGTGGTGAACGATGAAATTCCCAAGTATGTTGATGTTGTTCTGAAAGATGGGTAAGCTACTTCGATTTATGTTGAAATACCATAGTTCCCACTGTATTGTAAAAAATGTAATGTTTTTGGGCATAATGAGAAAAAAATGTTTGCAGAAATCTATTTCAGCTCCGACTGTTTCTCAAGTATGGAAAAATAAGGGAGAAACAAAATCAAATACATTTCCCACAATAGTTGGAGGAATTGAAGCCTTGCAGGAACCGGAGAATCCTGGTCCTAAGACTAATGAAGAGCAAAATATGAATGTTGCTAAAGTGGATCTTGAACTAGATTGCATTGAGAATTTAACAGTTCATAAAGCTACTGAAGAACAGAGTGAGCAAACTGCTACTGATCCTTCAATATTAGTTCCTAATGACTATGCTTTTGAGAGTGATCATTCGCCTAAAGAACCTTCTGTTTCTATTGATAATGGTAAAGCAATTATTCAATCAACTGCCCTTAAACGGGGTAGAGGCAAGCCTGTTAAGGATACATCAAAAGCATCATTAGCAAGATCAAAAAATAGATTTGAAGTTATTTATTCGGTTGATGAGAATCCTCCAAACCCAGAAAGCCAACCAAGGAAAATTCGATCTGCTTCTTTGGGAGTTGCAGGATTGGTGAATGAGCTTAAATCGAAAAAGAATGATCATTTAGACAAAGCTAAAACTCAAACAGTAGGTGATAATGGGGGTACTTTGGGCTCACATTCTCAATAATTATAACCTTTTGGAATGTTAGAGGATTAAACAGTCCTTTAAAGAAAGATATAGTATTGCACAGAGCCAACAAAAACAAAATTAATGTTTTATGTTTATTGGAGACTAGAGTTAAAGTTGATAAGTCAGTGGGTATTTTCAAGACTAAATTTGTAAACTGAATGTATGCTCAAATTATGAAATAGCTTTAAATGGGATCTATCTTGGTGTTCCTCTGTTTATTACTACAATTTATGGTAGCAATTATGGCATTGTTCGAAGACAGCTATGGTAGTAGTTATGTGACTTGGATAGAAATATTGGCCAATTCCCGTGGATACTAGGAGGGGACTTTAATGTTATTCTGCATTCAAACGAAAGCTCGGACCATGAGTTTTTTGCTCATTACCTTACTTCTAATATGAAAGATTTTCAAGACATCACTCAGGAACTGGATCTTAAAGATCATCCCTATTTTAGGCCTTCCTTCACATGGAGCAACAAGCAGCACGAATCTTTTCTAGCAAGGAAACTTGACAGGGTTTTGATTAACCCCAAGTGGCCAAATTCTTTAAATCAATCTTTTGTTGAATTCCTTGCTCCATGAATCTCTTACCATTGCATGGCCCTTGTCTGGCTTTCCAAAGAGGTTCCAGCTAATAGATCTATGCCATTCAAATTCTTCAATTTCTGGACCCTTCACCCGAACTTCATGAATGAGGTGATGTAATCTTGGCTAAGTATTGTTCAAGGCAACCCAATGAAAGTTCTCTTTATTAAGTTAAAGCGACTCAAAGCCAGCCTAAAGAACTTAAATAAAATTAGTTATAATGATCTCTCAGCTCGGGTAAGGCAAAAGAGGAGTGAGTTGGAACAACAACAACTTCTTACCTCAAGAGGAGAGGATGGTATCGAAAAGGAGCTAAACTTACAAATGATTTAAAAATTATTGAAGATGCAGAGGCAATGTTCCTTAAACAAAAAGCCAAAGTGCAGTGGCTAAAGGAATTAGATAAATGTTCTAAATTATTCCATTTTATTGTTGCAATTAAAAACAAAAGGGAAACTATCCGAGTGCTTGTTGATGAACAAGGAAACATACTTTAATCATTTGATGCTATGGCTACTGAAGTGAAAGATTTCTTCTCAAACCTTATTAGTACTGTTGATCCCAGGGTAAAAGAAAGTGATCATAATCTTCTGAAAGAATTGCTTCTATATTCTTTGCCTTTAGAAGCTTCTTCAAGCCTTGTCAATGAAGTTACAAGAGAGGAGATTCAGGATGCCATATTCTGCCAAGGTAATAACAAAGCTCCTGGTCCTGATGGCTTCACCCCTTACTTTTTCAAGAAAACCTGGTCTATTGTGGGTGATGATGTGGTGGCTGCTGTGAAACATTTCTTCCAAAATTCCTTCCTCCTTCCAGCTTTCAATGCAACTATCATTGCACTGGTTCCTAAAGTTCCTAATCCAAGTTCGGTTAAAGACTTTCGGCCAATCTCCTGTTCTTCAGTAGTCTACAAGACTATTACCAAGATTTTGGTTAAAAGACTGACTAATCTTCTTCCTGAGATGATAACTTTAAATCAGACTTTTTTATTAAAGGAAGAAGTATTGTTGACAACACTCTTCTTGCTTAGGAAATGGTAAAAGGTTATGGAAGGAAATCAATCTCTCCAAGATGTTCCTTGAAAATTGATCTCCATAAGGCTTTTGATTCCCTTCATTGGGGGTTCATTATAGTTATTCTAAAGGCTCTTAACCTTCCAAGGAGTTTTATAGGTTGGATTGAAGCTTGTATTTTAGAAGGTAGATACTCCATATCATTTAATGGGAGTTTAATTGGCTATTTCAAGGGAGCTATAGGAATTAGACAGGGAGACCCTCTGTCCCCCTTCTTATTTGTACTTTCAATGAATGTGTTCTCTAGAATTCTCAACTTGGCGACTACTAGGGGTTTATTTGGTTATCACCCTAAATGCAAGAAGATAAGTCTTACTCACTTAACCTTTGCTGATGATTTTTTGCAAAGGTAATGTTGAATCTATTGTTGGAGTCATAAGTGTCTTAGATCACTTCTATTAAATGTCTGGCCTCAAACACAAAGCTGCTAAATGTGAGATTTTTACTGTTGGAATCTCTTTTTGTATTATCAAGGATATTAAACAGATTATGGAATTCAATCATGGTTGTTTGCTTGTGAGATACTTAGAAGTCCCTTTAGTCACTCGAAAACTCTCTGAAAAGGATTGTGAGTTCTTATTGATAAAATCAAAGCAAGGCTCCATCATTGGTCTGGAAAGAATCTAAGTTATGCAGGCAGACTCGAACTCATACGATCTGTTTTGTTCAGTGTTGCTAAATATTGGTGTAGGCAGTTAATTCTACCCCAATCTATCATCAACAAGATTGAACAACTATGTTCCTGGTTTTTCTGAAAAGGGGCAGATAAAGTTGTTGCTAGAGCCAGAGTAAGCTAGGAGAAAATTTGTCAATCAAAATATGAAGGAGGGCTAGGATTGAAGAACATAAAATCCTGGAACAAAGCTTGTTTAATGAATCTTATCAGAAAAATCCTTGCGGGTGAAGGTTATTTATGGGTAGCTTGGCTTGATCGCTACGTTCTTAAGGAGAATGACTTCTGGTATTTGGAAGTCAGAGCTAGTGTAAGCTGGTGCTTAAAAAGAATAATGAAACTAAGGACTGAAGCTCATCCTATCCTTTCTACTGGAGCAAAGCAAATCAAGGAAATTTGGGAAGAGGTACGGGTGAAAGGGGAAAAAGTACCATGACATAAACTGATTTGATTTCCTCTACACATTCCAAAACATAGCATGATTGCTTGGATGGCTCTCTTGGATAGACTCCCAACAAGGGATAGACTTCAAAGAATGGGGATTATAACTGATGGTAATTGTGTTATCTGCAACAACACACTGGAGACAAGGGACCACTTGTTCTTTCACTGCCCCTTGGTTGTTTCTTTATGGGATTCCAGTTTGCTCCTTAACGGGTTGAAGAGTACCACTTTGACATAGGAGGAAATGTTATCATGGGCATGTTGTGCTTGGAAAGGTAAGTCCCTCCTCACAACTATTTTGAAGCTTGCTTGGTGTGCATATATCTATACCCTGTGGGAGGTAAGAAACCGAAGAATGTTCCAAGGCTATGATGAGTGTTCAAAATCGTTAATCTTTGCTCGTTATTTCTTCGATTTTGTGGAATTATTGCTGCTGAATTGGTCGTGTTATACTTGTTTATGTACAGGTCCTTACTTTCCTGAATTTGTGACAAAACGGGCGAATTCTGCATTTTTATTATTATTTGGTCACGGCTGGAGACATGGGCATGACTCTAGGCACGACGCAGTGTGACATGGCAGTTTCTAGAAGGTCCAGTCAGCGACGGCTTCTAGAAGACTGTCTCTGTACGCCTTCTGGAAGATGGACGAGCATAATTGCATTAGGAGACTAGTTTAAGTTTGAATTTAAATTTGAAAAACAATTATCTTAGGATTATTTTATTTATTTTCATTGTTTATCCCTTAGGCTTTGAGAGGCTATAAATACCCACTTGGGGTAAGCCTAAACTCATCATTCAAATTACATTCTTTTTTTCTCTCTAGTTTTTATAAAAGTTTTCTCTTTTTACTTTTCAAGTTCTTTTCATTTTTTCTTTTATTTTTCAAGCTTTGTTTTCAAAATGCTAAGTATGACTTTTGTCATGATTAGCTAAACTTTTCATAAGCTAAGAGCTGTCGCGATAACTCAATTCCATCGGGAGAATTGAAACAGACCCTTAATATCTTCGGAATATCTCTCTCAATCTCTGCGCTTATTTTTTTTCAAAATCAAAACAGTTTTCAAAATCAAAGATTGACTTTGGTCAAGAGGTTGTTGCGATTAAATGTGTGAGAGGAAGATTCGGCTTATAGAAAGCAATTCGACTTCCTGGGAACACACTTGGTGAGATAGCTTCGCCAAGAGGGAATTGAGATCGGAATTGACGGTTATCGAAGCAACAATCCGAGTCGGACGCCATGAACTTAAACGGTAATTGATCTACGACAATTGATGTTGTTAGAATCAATTACCGAAGCCGGAATCAAAGATTACCTTGGGTATTTGGTATACAAGATAGAGTCACGGGGATAGCCCTTGTAGACAAAGTAACCGACGTGAATCCCGAAGAGAAAACTTTATTCGATGATCATAAGGAAATTGAGTCAAAGCGAAGCTTGAGGCTACTTTTATCGTATTTATTCACAATCTTCATCTTCTTATTATTACTTTAATTGCTTTTACTTATTTAATCGCTTTTATTATTTTAATATTTTATTACCAAAATTCCCCCATTTTTACTGTTTCACGCCTGCATAAATAAATCAGACAGAAATTTATAATTTTCTAAGTCCCTGTGGAATCGACCCTTACTTCTCTTTACTACGTATTTCCTTTTTTATTTATTGAGAATAAGGAATTTATTTTGACATCCAAAACGACAGTTGTCAGGCTGCTTCAGAATAGTTGAAGAGATTCTTAAGGTTGTTAAGGATATTGTAGGTATTCAATTAAGGGGGAAATATTAATAGACTTGATAGTGTTAATATTAATCTTTATAATTTGTGGGTATAGTCTAACCGATCATTTGATTTTGTAAGTAGGTTGTTCATATGGGTTTCGGTTGGTGATTGGTTTTGTAGCAGAACTCTGCTTCCTTGGGTAATAAAATTTGAATTATCCAAAAATAAAAGTTCATATATAAATTAATATAAAGAGAAGTTCATATATAAGCTTAATATTTACATCTTTAGTTAAACCTAATTATAATTTTGATATATTACGCATAAAACCAAATCTAATCTATACTCGATAAGTATAAAGAGATTGACAAGTTATGTGATCAAACTCCCTACTTCGGGAGTTCAAATTTAAGATTTTTGAACTGAAAAATATCTTGAATTTTATTAACCAATAATTTCTGAAAATAATAGTCTAAATTATTTTTTAAGTCATGCCGTATAAGATATCTAGTAAAATGCACCTTCTTTTAGAGCAAACCTACTTATTTTTATGGTGGCGTGTAGTCGAGAGATGGTGATATTTCAACCTCATCGCAGCACGGTCTAAGAATTTTCAGGGTCTAGTTTGAATTTTCTGGTCATGCTATTGACAATGAATTCCATCCAATTTGCTTTCTTTAGAATACAACAGTTTAGGCTACAATAATCTCACTGGTCATCTCTCAGAAGATATGTTCGATCATCTTCCGAATTTGACAGATTCCCAAGTCCATGGAGAAACTTGGCAATATCAATTATTTCAATGTCTCAGTACACCTGAAGAAGAGATTCTTGAGTATTACTTTCCCTAAAAATCTCGGGTTCAAGCAGTTATGTATTTCCAATGGGGATTCAGAAATCAATTATTCAAAATTATAAAACCTGTAAAATAGACAAAGGGGCAGTTGAAGAAATTTCCATGGAAGACAATCCATTTTTCTACACCCACCAAAGAAAATGGAGAGGAAAATCAATATGACTCTCGTCTCTTTCTTTACTTTATATTCTCACTTGGAAAAATATCAAATATAGATAAATACCATGTCAAGGGATGAAATTATTGAAAGACAACCGACAATCACAAATCAGAGTCGAGCGTCATGAGACTACTATCTCTGAACGACAAATGTTTATATAAAGAGTGGATCATCTAGCTATCTAGCTCGTGTCTTCGTTAGTAGCTTTACAAACTCCATTTTCATCTACTCAGCACCCAAAATCAGATGGGGAACACTTTCCTCAACTTAGCTCTTCTTATCATCTTCCATTTTTCTGTGGCTACTTTCTCCATGAAGTTAACCAATATAGTTACAGACCAGTCGGCTCTTCTTGCATTGAAAGATCATGTTACTCACGATCCTGAAAATGTCTTAGCGAATTGGTCAGCTTCCACCCCTGTTTGCAATTGGCTTGGTGTGAGTTGCGGATCCAAGCACCGTAGGGTCACAGTCCTAGACCTTATCGGGTTGGGACTCGCAGGCACCCTTCCACCCCACCTAGGAAATATGTCATTTCTTTCTCTTCTGTACATCACATACAACAGTTTTCATGGCAGATTACCTGCTCAATTATCCAACTTGCAACGCCTGAAATATTTGAACTTCGGTAACAACAACTTCTGTGGAGAAATCCCATCGTGGTTGGGATCATTAACTCAACTTCGGGAATTGTCTCTGTACCATAACAACTTCAGTGGTATCATTCCATTATCCTTAGGCAATTTGTCAAAGCTAGAGGAGTTGCGCTTGTTTGAAAACCAGATTTCAGGCCCAATACCTTCCATCGTCTTCAATATATCTTCGTTGCAAATGATTGCTCTAGGCAATAATATGCTCTCTGGTCCTCTACCCTCTTTTCCACGCAATTTGCCTTCTTTAGAATACATCAATTTTGCCTACAATAATCTCACTGGTCATATACCAAAAGATATGTTTGATCATCTTCCGAATTTGAAAGATCTGATTTTAAATGTTAACATGCTTTCCGGTAGAATTCCAGCCAATTTATTCAAATGCAAAAAGTTGGAAATGATATACTTAACAAGAAACCAATTGGAGGGGAGTCTACCGGCAGAAGTCGGAAATCTGAGCATGCTTCAATACTTCTTCATGAGCCGTAACAAGTTTCAAGCTAATTTACACCAACCACTTTTTAAATATTTACATTTTTGTTTTCTTCTTCTTTTCAAGGCTTTTTAAGTATTTACAATATATATTCCTTTTTTAATCATTGACAGGTATGATTCCACGACAGATTGGCAACCTACAGAATCTACAATATTTGAGTTTGAGAGTTAACAATCTTGTTGGTCCAATTCCTCCTGCAATATTCAATATATCAACTCTGCGTCTCATTTTTCTGTCATTAAATCAGCTCTCTGGCAGTCTTCCATCAAACATGGGGATTTGGCTTCCAAACCTTGCGGGATTATATCTCGACAGTAATCAACTCGTTGGTTCGTTCCCAATGTATATTTCCAATGCCTCTCGGCTTACTGGTCTCAATATGTCACATAATTACATTTCAGGTTATATTCCTCACATTGTTTCCGGTCTAAGAAACTTAGAGATACTCTACCTGGATTTGTCGAACAACCAGTTCTCGGGTTATATCCCAATCGGAATAGCAGATCTCAAAGACCTCACTTATCTTTCCTTATCCAACAATAGAATCACAGGTTCTATTCCCGAGTCATTTGGTGATTTGTTGAACTTGGAAACTTTGGATTTGTCCAGAAATAGTATATCCGGTGAGATTCCTAAGTCCATGGAGAAACTTCGCAATCTCGAATATTTCAATGTCTCTTTCAATACACTTCAAGGAGAAATTCTTGATGGAGGGTCTTTAGGAAACTGGAATGATGCCCAAAATTTGGATTTTTCCGGAAATAATCTTTCAGGTGCAATCCCATATAGAATCTGTGATCTAAACAGTGATTTGAGATATCTTGCCCTCAACGGCAATCAACTGGAAGGGGCACTGCCACTATCTTTGATCAATTGCAGTGAGCTGGTAATTCTGAATGTTGCGAACAACAAGTGACACCTTCCCTCATTGGCTGGGCACACTTCCAAAGCTTCGAGTTCTAGTTCTGAGATCCAATAGATTCCATGGTCCCATTCAAGATTCCGTACCCACATCTTCCTTCACCAAATTGCAGATGATTGGTCTCTCTCGTAACGACTTCACTGGCATATTGCCAACCAAGTTGTTCCAAAATCTCAAGGCTCTGAAAGAAGCAACTGGATACGGAAATGATGATGATTACAGGTATTCCGTCAATTGGAGCTAGAGTTTAGAATAACAGTATACATACCCATTTTCACAAGCATAGATTTATCGATCAACGGATTCCATGGAGAAATCCCTGACGCAATTGGAGAGCTTAGGTTGCTTCTAGCACTCAATCTCTCGCATAACACCCTAACCGGCCCTATACCGCCATCATTCGGGAATTTGACAGCACTTGAATCGTTAGATCTCTCGTTCAACAAGCTGAGTGGCAAAATCCCTTCCCGGTTGACGAATCTGACATTTCTTGCAGTGTTGAGGTTCCAGAACAACAATCTCGTCGGAGCCATTCCCCGTGGCAAGCAATTTGAAACATTCGAGAACGATTCGTATACAGGGAACTTGGGTTTGTGTGGATTCCCATTATCGGAGGAATGTAGCAATGATGAGACACCAGAACCAGCAGCAGGAGATGAACGAGGTAACGGTAAAGGGATAGCCTTTATTTGGAAAGTTGTAATGATGGGGTACGGGAGCGGAATGGTATTGGGAATTAGCACTGCATACGTTGTATTCACAACAGGAAGACCATGGTGGTTGGTCAGAATGATTGAAAGAGATTTGAAAGAGAAGATTGCGAGCTGGATTCGGAAGAAAAATAGAAACTAGTCTTATGTCCGGGTAATTTATATGAATGTTTCTATTCAATGTACCAATTAGACATGTCAGTGGGCTAGCCCATATACAATCAAAACTCATACAATCTACTCCTTGAATTATTGTCAAAAAATTCAACTCGGATACAACTAAAGCCCATGCAATTAAAACTCCCCCAAATATATATATATATCCTAACTCGTGACCCATAAATTTATTAAGCCACCTCAGTGGTGAATAAGAGTATTGTTTTTCCTAAAAATCTCGAGTTCAAGTAGTTACTTCTGTATAGTGTATGTGTGTGTTGTGACAAAAAAAATTATAAACAAATACTACTATGTGATCACCTCAAAGTATTAAAAAAAACTCGTGAAGCGAAATGGACATCTAGAATCAGTTGGGCCTATATGGCTTTCGGGCCGATAATTTCAACCCAATCAGCCCAAAAGTAAACTCTAGTTCTACGCTCCGTCTATCCAAACCGCAGCCACCATATTTATATCCAGAAAGACTAAGCCTGTAAACGAACCGAACGAATACGAACTGGGATATGCTCATGTTTGTTCGTTTAAGTTTAACTGAGCAAATGAACGAACACAAACATAAACGAACAAAAAAATTCTTGTTCGTGTTCGTTCGTTAAGGAAAGTAGTTTGTTTGTGTTTGTTCATTTAAATGATAAACGAATATAGATGAACGAAAATGAACAAATGAATGTAAACGAACACAATAAACAAACATAAACAAACATAAATGAAAATATTTTTCCTTTCCTAACAATTTTAGGATTATATTTTATTTAATTGTTTTGGGATTTTTTTATTTGTATTTAAAATTAATTAAATTTTAAAATATTTATGTGAATCAGATTAAAATTTATTGAACTTTAATATTTTAAATGGATTTAAAGATATTAGGCTAAACATAAACGAAAGCACATAAACGAACATAAACGAACGAATATAAATAAACATAAATGAACGAACTTCCCGCCAAAAGATTCACGGACAGTTCGGTGAATGTTCGAATCGTTTACATGCCTAAGAAAAGCCTATAACATTACAAACATTATTACGAATTTATGGTATAATCTAATATTAGTATTGATGAAGATAATAAAGATTGTTAACCGAGTGACGATTAAGCACGTATCAAATACTAATATGTTATTGGTGGTTTGACTTTGAAAAAAAAAGACAGTTAAACATGATAATCACTGCTTGAAACAAAAATCTTTCAATCCAAACAACGCTGTCCTTGCTTCACGGCCTCAACGTGATTGACGGCGTCCCCCTTTTCTCAACCCTTTGTTATTTTATTATATTCACACCCTTAATTGCCTTATCTTATTATCCCACTTGGATATTGAATATATATCATATTAAATATTTTTCTTATACCATATATGTCAAACGAAATTTGTTTTTTAATCTATTTGAGTTATTGATAAAATAAAATATGACAATTTTAATAATTAATTTTAAAACTTCGATGCCTGAGCTCAATTTTTTTTTAATTAAGAAAAATACATTTTGTGAGTAATAGTATATATTTTGTCATATATATATATGGGGGCATGATTCAATTATATAGTGTAAAATTCTTTTAGTTTTATATATTTTTATGACTACTGGATAAGATAAATTAAATATTAAGATTAACGGAAGAAAACTATGAGATATTTACTTGAAAAAATGAACAAAGAGTCAATCTCAACCTTTGATTTCCCTCAATTCAACGATCCTAAAAAGGTGTATAACTAAAAAGATGGATCTTAACTAAAGATGGTAATTTAACTCGAATCTGATGGGTTTCGACCAGATAGGGTCGGATTTTTTAAGGAGTGAGGTCAGGTTCAGGTGGAGGGTGAAAAAATTTCGATCCGGGGATAATAATGTAATTTTCTTTTTTTTTTTAATTTTTTAATTAAATCCTTATTTTATATCGGGACAGATAGGATTTATACTCTAAAAATTTAAATCAGATCGGAGCCGAGTGGAAAGTATATTTTTTTGGTCGAGTCGGATCAAATTTATAGATATTCTAATTATTTGAATATTCATTTATTTTATAGAATTTATATTCATAGCGGGTTTATATTCCCATTTGGCATTTATTTCAAATCTAGCAAATATGTTATGTAATATGCATAAGAAATTTGATTTGGAAAATTGTCAAAATATGAATCATTGTCACTTGAAAATATAATAAATATTCGTTAGGGAAAGCAATGTATCTGACTCGTAACAAAAGTCCAAACTCTCTTTTTTTTTCCCTGTGAAAAAGCATTTTTATTTTAAAAAAATATTTCACATTTGGTTTCAAAGAGTAGACTTTAATCAGACAGACACTTCCAGCTTAAAAGTTATAGAAAACTTGCAAAAAGGAATAATTTTAAATCGACAAATAATGTTTTTATTTTAAACAAAATTTAAATAAATAACAATTCTTATCAGTTATGCTTGAGAAAAATGGAATTTATTTATTTATTTTAAATTTAAAAAATGGAGCAGATGGGGACGCCAGTGGCAGTGGCCATGTGCGCGATGCGGCGGATGTTAAACATAAATAATCGGACCCTTTTCACGCTAAACTTAACGGCCGTTTAGGGTTATATTCCGTTCATAAAATGTAGTTGGCGTCGTTAAACTAATAAAAAAAATGAACTTTTCCATGTTTTTAAATATCTTATTATTTTAGGGTAATTGTACCTTTTGATAATTAACGTTTAAATATTTTATAATTACGATATTCAAATATGAAACATATAGATATAATAATCATCATTTTAACTATTTTTGCGAATTAAACATATGGTACAATTCAAATCTTAATGCTTACATCGAGTATTTAACAAACTAAACCAACTTGTATAATATTCATTAGTGTTTATATCTTAAACTTTGGTACTAGATATCAATACAAATTTTTAAAAAATATATATTAGATCTAAATCAGTATTTAAGTTTATAATAATGACTAGATCGATAAAATAATTTAATTGAGAATTGAACTAAAATTTAACGGTTAATTTAATTTAATATTAAACTTATAATTTGGTGACGTATGAGAAATCATTCTTGCTTTTCAGACAGACATAATCATGTTCAAAGTACTTTCATAACATTCAGTATATCCCCCTTGAATTAAGTTAAACACGTCAAACGGTACCTTGAGTTTCACTTGTAGACAAAACACCGTAACGTTAACCGCCGTCAACTCCGTCCTCTCCAAAGCCGCGTGAAAAGTGGGTCCCTTTCATCGTTTGGTCCCAACCCATCAACCGTACCATTCCAGTTCCGTCTAATTTATCATTAAAATTTGTTTTCTTATACCTTCCCCCCCCCCTTTTTCAAAATTAGGCATCATTTAATGTTGTCTTGCTTACAGTAATAGTTTCATTTCCAGACTAATTTATCTTAATATCACTAAAAAGAATTACATAAGAAAATATTTTTATTATTATTTATCAAAATAACGTATATTTTCTTACGTAACATTGAAAAAATATTGAAGAACCAAAATAGATAAAATGTGTCCAAGAGAACCATGTGTGTTCGTACTGGTATTTTTTTTATTGAATTCGTATTAATGATTAACATTAAACGTTCATATTCTTTATATTTAAACTCGGTTCCTCAAATATTCTAATTATTATTTTTTACCGTGGTAGTCACTTGTTTCATATAAATATTATTTAATATTTTTAAGCTGCTATTTGGATAAAGTAGCCTCACTTCCAGGACTTTTATGAAGCTTTCTGATATTAAAAGGGCAGAAGCTTATGAAAAGCATAGTAAAAAAAATACCGAGTTTGAGAGAGATAAACAGCTGTATTTTCATGGGAAGTGATAAATTCCCAGGCGTCTTCAAATACATTGAGAATTTACCGTATCTTATTTTTCTTTCTTTCTTTCTTCTAAAATTAGTAGTGGGGTCCTCTTAGTTCTCTCTGTAATGACAGCCTAATCAACAGCCTGGAAAAGTTGGGTTATATGCACTGCCAAAGCAGCTTGCACTTTCGTTTTTCTTAAAGGGTTCTTAATATTTTCTTGGTGGCATTCACATTTTCTCAGCTGAGAATTCTTTGTCGAGAAAACCCAAAAGCACTTCGAACTCAAAAAACTCATTCCAGGGAATAGTTGCTTGTTTCCCATTTGTGAGGTAAGGGCATTGATGAAGTTTTGATCTTTGAAGTAAAGTTTATGTATTTACATTGTGTTGTAATGTTAATTAGATCTGAGTCTTGGGAAGACATGAACTTTGAGGGGTTGGAATTGAATCACTGGGATTTTTAGGATTTCTTTTTTTTTTTGCGTTAATTCTTTTGTAGTTTTGTGGGGTTTTCTTTTGAATCTTAGTTTACTTGGTTTCAAGCAGTGTTTTGATTATTTGTCGAGTTGGGAGCTTGGGAATTGAAATTGTATTAGGCATTTGAATTATTGTAAAAGTTGAAGATGAAAATAGGGTATTTGGTGCCTCTGGTTTTAGCTGTTGTGTTGTTCGAGTTTCCGGATTATCGAATACAGGCCGCATTCGCGCCTGCCGATAACTACTTGATTGTTTGTGGTTCTTCAAAAGATGTCACATTCCAAGGTAGAACTTATGTTCCTGATTCAGGCCATTCTTCTCTTTCCTTGAAGAGTGGAAGTTCTTTTGTTGCTGGTTCTAATGCCAGTGTTCCGTCTCCGATATATCAATCTGCTCGAATCTTCTCAGGCATTGCTTCTTACAAGTTCGATATCAAGAAAGAAGGCCGGCATTGGGTCCGGCTCTACTTTCATCCTCTTTTGAAATCTGGCCAGGACTTGACATCTGCTCCGATAACGGTTGTCACTGACGATATTGTGCTCTTGAACAACTTCACTTTCAAGAACTATAACGGTTCTTTTTTGTTCAAGGAGTACGCAATCAATGTGACTTCAGATACCTTGACTCTTACCTTCATTCCTTTGAACAATTCGGTTTCGTTCGTTAATGCGATCGAAGTTGTCTCCATCCCGGATGCAGTCCTGCCTGACCAGGCATTAGCTTTGAATCCATCTGCTCCTGTTAGTGGTATTTCGGAATTCGCCATGGAGACTGTTTATCGGTTAAACATGGGAGGGCCATTGATCACTTCTCAGAATGATACGCTCGGAAGAACATGGGAGAATGATGTGAAATATCTCCACGTAAACAGTTCTGCTCTGAATGTTTCAGTCAATCCAGCTTCTATCAAATATACGGCTTCCGTTACTCCGGAAACGGCACCAAATTGGGTCTATGCCACGGCTGAAGTCATGGGTGATGCAAATGTTCCCAGCATGACCTTCAATGTAACTTGGGTCTTCCAGGTTGATCCCAACTTCAGGTATTTGGTTCGGGTCCATTTTTGTGATATCACAAGTTCATCACTCAACACTTTGGTTTTCAACCTATACATAAATGACGACAATGCTCTTGCAAGTCTCGATCTATCCACATTGACTGGTGACCTAAAAGTGCCGTACTTTAGGGACTTTATCTTCAATTCTTCGGTGGAATCTGATACTTTGACTGTTAGTATCGGTCCAGATACTATGGCGGACATCACTAATGCGACTATGAACGGATTGGAGATCATGAAAATCAGCAATGATGCTGGAAGCCTGGATGGGATTTCTTCTGTTAAGAATCTACTTCCTAAATCATCCTCGAAGAAAAACAAGATAGGGATAATAATCGGTTGTCTTGTTGGAGCGGTAGCTGCAGTGGCATTAATCGGATTTTGCTATTGTTGTCTGGTTGCAAGGAAATCGAAAGCTACTGAACAAGGACATTCATGGTTACCTTTGCCCTTATACGGAAACTCTCTGACCATGACCAAAAATTCCACTACATCGCAGAAGAGTGGAACAGCAAGCTGCATCTCGTTGGCTTCCACGAATCTGGGGCGGTTGTTCTCCTTCCAAGAAATCCTTGATGCTACCAACAAGTTTGACGAGAGCCTACTTCTTGGAGTCGGTGGTTTCGGAAGGGTCTACACCGGAACCCTTGAAGATGGGACTACAGTTGCTGTCAAAAGAGGTAATCCCAGATCTGAACAAGGTCTTGCTGAATTCCGCACTGAAATTGAAATGCTTTCTAAACTTCGCCACCGCCACCTTGTCTCACTTATTGGGTATTGTGACGAAAGATCGGAAATGATTCTTGTTTACGAGTATATGGCTAATGGACCGCTTAGAAGTCATCTTTACGGAACAAATCTACCTCCTCTATCGTGGAAGCAACGGCTTGAAATATGCATTGGGGCTGCTAGGGGACTTCATTATCTCCACACCGGTGCAGCCCAAAGCATTATTCACCGTGATGTGAAGACGACAAACATTCTCTTGGATGAGAATTTTGTAGCCAAAGTGGCGGATTTCGGTCTTTCGAAAACCGGTCCAGCTTTAGATCAGACACATGTGAGTACCGCTGTTAAGGGTAGCTTTGGTTACCTTGATCCAGAATATTTCCGAAGGCAGCAGCTCACGGAGAAGTCCGATGTGTATTCGTTTGGAGTGGTTTTGATGGAAGTTCTCTGCACTAGGCCGGCTTTAAATCCTGTTCTCCCAAGAGAACAAGTTAATATCGCGGAATGGGCAATGACTTGGCAGAAGAAAGGCATGTTGGATCAAATCATGGACTCTAACCTGTCGGGGAAAGTCAATCCAGCTTCCCTCAAAAAGTACGGAGAGACAGCTGAAAAGTGCCTAGCCGAGTATGGTGTTGACAGGCCATCAATGGGAGATGTATTATGGAACCTCGAATATGCTCTTCAGCTGGAGGAGACTTCATCAGAGCTGATGGAACCCGATGATAACAGTACGAACCATATACCTGCCATTCAGTTGACACCACTTGAGCCATTCGATAACAGTGTAAGCATGCTTGATGGTAATTCCGGCACTGATGATGATGCTGAAGATGCTGCCACCAGTGCAGTATTTTCACAACTCGTAAATCCTCGGGGAAGATAGATGACAATCAGTCCTTGGTGATTTTAGTACGATGGACATCCTGCTAAAAAACAATACTTGGAATTCCAAGAGATTGAACTAAGGTTTTTTTTTTCCGCCATACAATTATTCTGTTTTTTTTCCTGAAACTTTTATCCATGATAAATTTAGTTTGTAATATAGTTGAGTGATGGCTACCAACTAATCCATCCAAAACTCCTATGCAATGTACCATAAATATTCCATCATTGTTGATTTATTCAGGTTATGATTACATAGTTACCTAATAATGAATATCTTATTTGTCGGTTGTTCGTTGCATGAGTTAACTTTGCTTGATGAACTACTACACTTGGATTTGATCATTTTCAGAGGAATGCAAAATGGAACATATCATTAGACTGCAAGGAAACTTGCCATTGTCATTTCTTAAGAACAAGAACTAAGTCGTTTTTTGAGCATATCACAGACCATGATTTATCTCCTACAAACTATTCCACTCCCACTAGAGGCTCCACTGGTGCAGTCTAGAGTGCCAAAGTCAATCGGTGATGAATCTCTGTGGTCGGATGCTCCGGCTTGAGAGAATATACAGGAATAACAATTTGCAGCAAGGAGTGAAGAGGTTCGGTATTTGTCTTCCCCTCCGACCACTGGCATTGCGATGCCTGACTTTGTAGGGTTCACAAAATCTGGCTGATAAGTCCTGCCAAGTACCCCTTCAACTTTAGAAGATAAACCATAGAATTTGAATTGCAGCTCCAAGTGAGCAAAACAGTTGTCGGAGGGTATTTGGTAATAATGGATCCCATCATCTTCCCTGGTCATGGGCACCGCATTGACTGAAATCTCAGCAACATCAGGTAAAGTCACTAAGACGCTATTTCTGTCAGATGTTCTCTCTACTGTAAGGTCACTTTCTGGGGATTGCCACGACGATAGATGGCCTTCTGGTAGAACAATATCGTTACCATTGTATGAGAACTTGAGATGATCAGATTCCTCATCCCAAGTTGCTGCATGTTTGGCCTCAAGAGAGAAGGTTTCGGAGCCGAAGAGGAGACCAATTGCTTGAATCCAAGTATAGTCTCTGCTTCGGCCTGCCGGCCTAAGTCTAATGAACCTGGCATTGATTTGGAGATTGGGATCCGATACCAAACTGAAATGCTCGTTGCTCTTCCCATGGAAATAAAATACGACGACGTCGCCACCGATGAATCTGGGGTCAAAGCATGCTGCACCTGGGGCATGGCAGTTCGGCTTCTTATCTGTCAACGTGAAATGATTAGAGTGATTCTGTTTCTAACTTTTGCATTCAGCTTTGCATATGGGGGAGTCACAGTTAACATTAGCAAACTTTGGCCTTCAGATGTGATGGATTCGACGACGGGCATTGAGGAGGGCATTTCATGATCTTGAGAAAGCAAGGACTGCGACGCAAAAAGCAACTCTTACGTTCTGCAGCCGCGTGATTCTGCAGCAGGGCTGATATGAAGAACAGAAAACAATCAATGAGGAAGTATTGCCAAAGATCTTCATTTTGTGTTAAATGAGGCCTATGCTCCAACTTCAAGAGATTTATGATCTCTTCTGTGAATCTTTACTTATTGAAGAATTTAACAACTTCTGAAGGAAGAACAAGGCCTCATTGGAGTAATGCTTCGGAATTCGTGTTTGTGATTTAAAATTTGGCTGCTAACGATCTCCTAGATTGCTCTATGATGAGTTCACTGTTAAGTGATCTTAGATCAAGTTTTTGGTCAAACGTCAGCCCAAAGGTAAAATAAGATAATGACTAGTTGCTCTTGGTGGAGTGAGAATAGGATTCCCCAGTGCTTGAATTCAAATGAAGTCCCGGGCTCGGCCAGCGGGCGGTGGTCGATGCAGCCGTTGGTTCGTAGACAGATATCATAAACCAAGTTGAAATGTTCATTGCTTTCTCCATGGAAGTATAAACTTATAATACATTGTGATTCTGGCAGATGAATAGAGGATTATATAGCATGCTGATCCAGACCAAGTTGATATACTTTGGTTGGGAGACCGAGTTGAATTGAACCAATTTAAAAGCTGAAAACATAGTTGATTTTTTTTTTTTATAAATAGGCATAATGGCAATTCGAGCCCTCAAATTTACACTTTTTATCAATATAGTCCTTATTCTTTTCTTTAGATAAATTTGGGTCTGGCTCTTTTTTTAAAAGTCAACTTGGTGAGATTTTAATGAAAATGATAACTGGGTCGTTAAATTTTCATGACAAATTAAAATGAAAAAAAAATCCTCCACCAGTTGTATTATAATGCGTCATATCATCCCATAGCTTCCAAAACAATCGTCAAATCCATATATTTGAAAGTTGATAACCGTAATCTATGCTTGCCAGATAATATCACCACACTTACAAGGACACGTGCATTTCAAGCAAGCAACTTGTTCATCATCTCACTGTACATGTGGAGACGGAATTAATGTTAAATATCAGATAGAGCCGACATATAATCATGCTTATCTTAACGTCGTTTCTTACTTAAGGTTTAAGATTTTGGGGTTTAGGGTTTTAAAATTTTGATAATAAAATAACACATATATCGTGGAAGAACATAAGGTTTTTAATCTTGAGGTCGTGGGATCGAGTCTTACGGAGGACATTTCATAATTCGGAGGTCTTCTACGGAAGTTGCTCTCAACCTGATGTTGGGGGTAACCTACTATCTTATCTCTCCCTTACCTCATTATATATGGGAACAAGGGACAGCTATATAAACTGGGAAGATGTAGATGGCAATCCTTGAACGGAACAAACATATGAACATTTAGTAAGTTAAAGTCAAGGGTGCTCTCATTGCATGTGAGAAAAAAAAATTGTTTGCTTCCGTATCTTCCCAGTTAAGCATATTTTTTGTTATTTAAGATAAATATCATTTACTTTAAATTAATTAATTAAGCTTAATATCTTCAAAATTTTAAATCCCGAGTATCGAAACGTCTGAGTTGATTGAAGACGTGTTAAATATAATATTCTGAATATTATTTATTTGTTGTTTTTTTGTAAAACTAAAAATATTACAAATATAATAATATTAATTAAAATGCCAGCTCACGATTAGTGGATCCTAATGGGTAAACGATGTAGGTATGAAAAGAGAAAAACAAAATAAGACAAGCACGCGTTAACTGTTAAATGTTAATGTCGGGGAGACGTACACTACTCCACCGTTCAATATTTTAATTCTTTATACATAATTATTCTGTTAAATTAATTTTTATAAATATATTTTTACCTAAAATATTTTACATTTATATTATAATGTTATAAATGTGGAAAATTTAATATCAAAGGATCATTAGACGGATCTATTCGTTACTCGTTGAAACTGTTAAAACTGTCCAATTAAATTACTTATTTTACTATATATATATATGAGATGTTAAATTTTGTACTATGTATGAACCAAAGTACTTCAACAGTTAAAAGGATTGTTATTTTGTTGTCTCCCTCGACTATTAAAAGTTACAAGATGGTAACTTAATTATTCATTATGTAAACACGTCCTTTTTCGTTAAACAAATTGAAGGTCATATGAGCTAAACGTTAATATGATGACTGAAATATGATAGTTTTTTGAGATTTTGGGATAATATTTTATCATATCACAGTTAATAGTCGGGTGATCATTTTGTAACTTTTAATAATTGAAAAACTCAACAAAGCAACACTCCATAGTCAAATGATCAATTTATAATTTTTAATAATTGAATGACTTGATAAAATAATATCTTACAGTCGGTGACCATTTGTATACTATACCCTAAAAAACTTGTAAGTATCAAGGTGAAAACATGGTCGGCAAAAGGATCGCACCTCACAAAATGAAACCGCACATGATGGTAGTCCCATTTCCCCAGTTGACCCACCATCCAAAACTGCCGAAAACTATAGGATCCCATCCTTTCTAATTATTGATTAATCCTCACTAATCCTAATTTAACCATTAAATATATTATTTTGTTTCGAAAACGGAACTCCTTGTCTTGCTTCGGCAGATTATCTCGAGTAAAGCCTTGATTCAATGATTTGTTTCAAGATAAGGATGGATTGGGTGGCACCTTCTATTGTTGGGCAATTCTGGGCATACAAATTGGGAAATATGAAACTGCAACATATGTTTGGTTTCTGTTGGATTCTTTTACAACCCAAACTGGTTTTTGAGACACTTTTGTGTTTAGTTTACCCAATTTGATGTTTGCAATTTCAAGTTTGTCGTTCACGTTTGATGTCGATGCTTTTGGCTTTATTATTTTATTGGCTCCATGCTTATTAACTAAAATATCGGGTCTAATGAATCCGTTTATTCAAAATATTTTAATTATTTTATCGACAATTAGCTTATTTAATGAGACAATATCTGAATCTTTTAAACAATGTCAAAATTCGAATCATTACGATTACGAATAGAGTAAAATGAGTTGGGAGGATCACCTTTACCTCTACAGTATCTGATTCAAATTAGTTAATTGTACAATTATAATAATTTAAATTCTTCTTATATAAACTTGAAAAGATAAAAAGATCAAATTTAAAATTGAAGTAGGGTACTTGATGGGACGATAGTCCTCTTAAAATTTTAAGTTTTAACATATATTTAAATATTTTTTTAAATTTTTGTCTTCATAAACTTCTAAAATTTTATAAATTTATCTCTAAATATACCACCCTTCGTCAATCCCTATTTGTATTAATATAATTCATTTAACCTAAATTCATATCTTAATTGAAATTTTAAATTAACCTATATAAATTATTTTTAAGAGAAGAGAATAAATTATGTATTACAGACGGAATTTATGTACTACGATAAAATTGATTGAAATAAAAACGAAAAAAATGCATAAATAGAGAAAGAAAAAATAACAAATATAACAAATACGTCGATTGTAAGCTAAATGTGTACAGTGCCACGTTGAAAATAATGCCCATGTCACCGCCTGCCAACGTGTCGCCTCTCACAACCGTAATTCCTCGTCCCCGCAACAACCCCAATCCGACGGCCAATATTCCATCACGAAATCTTAACCGGTTCCGTTTCTCCTGTATAAATACCTTCCACCACCTTTAAATTTCAATCTCCTTCACTTCTTCCAAAATTGTTAGTATTATTTTCTCACCTCATTTTCCCGAGAAAAAAAAGAGTCAGTTTTGCTTTTCTAGCTAATGGCAAATATAATGCTCTCTCTCAAAACAGCGGTGATATCAACCGGAATCATATCGTTAGCCGTTTTGTTTAAAGTTTCAGCTCCGTTCGTGACGGAGGTTGTAACGTCTGGTATTCCTTCAACTTACGGTTTAATACTTTCTTTTCTTCGGCCTCCGTACCTTTACCTTCTTATCAACTGCATCATCATCACCATCGTCGCTTCTTCCAAGCTCCAGAGGCGGAAACCCGAGTCTTCTCAACCCAATCCTTTACCGGATATAGTTTCTCCGGCGTTCAAGGTTTCGAGTGAAGTTTTTAGTAATGAGTTCAGTTATGGAAACGCTGCAGCAAGAATCTTGGTGGAGAAGGATTCGGAGGCGGCGGAGGAGAGTAAGCGAACGATTGAGGAGGAGCAGGTTAAGGTGGTGGCGGCGGAGGCAGCACCACTGAGGAGTGAGTCTATGGAGCTTGTGAGTTTGTTGGAGGGGGATCGGCTGAGAAGCCGCCGCTGGTGAAAAGATTCGGTCAGCGGAAAGCTGTGAAAGCGGCGCCGGAAGGTAAACCGCTCAAAATCTCTCAAACTTCTATAGCATGAGATTTCAAAATCAAACTATAAAGCACATACGTGAAAAGCCAAAATTATCAAGCAAAGTATAAATGCTTTTCCAAAAGCTTAATGCAATTTTTTTCAAAAAATAAGAAGTGCAAATTTTTTGTTACACTATTAATGTGTGAGGACAGAACAGTAAATTTGATGATCGTTCAAAATTTTTGCAGGTAAAGCTTTGAGAGTGTCAAAGCCAAAACGGCACGATACATTGGAGTCGACGTGGAAGACGATAACGGAGGGCCGTCCGATGCCATTAACACGTCACCTGAAGAAATTCGACACGTGGGAACGTGCTCAAAAGGACTTCAATACCCCTCCCCCTCCTCTCCCCAACGCCATGAAGAAATCCGATACCTTCAACGAACACACCAAGGAACCGCCACTGACTCGATCTTCTGTATCGGGAAAACTCAAGAGAGACCCCTCGCTGAGTCAAGACGAGTTGAACCGCCGAGTGGAAGCGTTCATTAAGAAGTTCAACGACGAAATGAGGTTGCAGAGGCAGGAGTCTCTTAATCAGTGTCAGGAAATGCTTAGCAGAGGGGCACAGTAGAGAATTCAGTACTCTCTCGAGGGTTAAAAAGTAAAATTACCTTTTTTCCAGTGAGGTATATAACTCCTGCTTTGTAAAAATATTTCCTCCTCCATTGGAATTCCTTGATTTTGTATAACGGCTAGAGCATGGCATATGCAGATATAGAATACACATGGATATCCATTTTGCATATTGAGTTAGCCAAAATTTATGAAAATTTAATATCTTAAACATGATTATAATATTTTAAAAATATATGAACACAATGCAAATATTTTTTATTGCACGTATGAACTTCATGCTGTAAAATTTGGTAATAGTTTTGTTTTGAACCGTCATCATTCGACCGGAGGACGACGATATCGCTACAATTTGCATGGAGCCGGCAGCATTCACTTCATTGCTGTTCGATAATGTCGTACAAAATTCTCTGGGAGGCAAAGACGGTAACAATCTGATCAAATCCAGCAAGGCTCAAGTTACAATCTTTAACAGATTAAACGACGATCGGAGAAGAAAAACGAACACCTGGCCTGAGTTTTTAAACGTTGCCGGACAGGAGAAGAAAAACGTACATCTGGCCCGAATTCTTAAAAGTTGCTGTACAGGATGCCGGAATTCCAGAACTGTCCTATGACACCGTGCCAGGAATCGTAAACTTGTCCTTTCACCTAATGTAAAATGAACACATGTACAACAACAAATGTAGCTATAAACATGCTAAATAAAAGACACAGAAAAAGACTCCATTAATAGAACAAAGATGGTAAATTAATCTCTGTAAACAAATTACCATATACGATACCAGACACTCAATTGCACAAGACATATAAGGAACTCGGTTATGTTCCCAGACAAAGGTCATTCATTTAACGCAGTGTGAAGTTTATTACTAAACATAGCTTACCGTGTTAATGGCAGAGTTGTGACATTTAAGTACAATAGTTGTTAAACTTGATGGCATTACTGATTGTAGATTAGAATGTCCGGCCACAACAATTGAAAGGGGGAAATTTCGTATTTAGATCATTCACAAGTAACATATCAGTTTGAACTTGCTTCAATGAAGGTTTCCTTCATCTAAAAGCATATAAGCTTTTTGTCTTCTTATTATTCATACCAATCGCTCGCATCCTCCGCAAATATGCGGCATGATGAAGTCGGCATTAATGTAAGTCTTAGCAAAAACTATTTGTTCAGAATTTTTTTAGCCTATTGACAACGTGCGCACTCTCTCTGCAGACATAGTTATTCAGACTCGGATCCTATAGGGAGAACAACATTTCATTTTACCAATAACGCCACTCAATGGGTTACTATACAACAACAATCCCCTGCATATTTGAAGGAAAGACGGTGTAGTATAAACTTCTCTTTGAAGGAAAGACGGTAACAAGCTGGAAATTCATTAAGGATCATCTTTAAAAGATTAGAATAAATAGTGAAAAAGAAATTATACATCTGACCTGAATTCCGAAATGTTCCCAGACAGGACGACAGAAATCTAGAACGGATCAAGCAAGGTAGCCAATGCATATTTACGTCGGTAGCTACTGAATCCCCCCTATGATACCAGAAGCTGAGCAAGATTAACATCAGTGCCACTAATCGTCAAGTTGTCGTTTCCCCTTTAAAACCATATTTTCAGCACTTATGCCTTATAACTCGAAAACACAATAAAAATAACTGATGGTATTACTGCAAACATTCCATGATCGTAAGAACTGTGGTAGGATACAAGATACCAGCCAGAAATAAGAAATTCATGTGGATGTATTCATATAAACTGCAGAATACAAGATACTGGCCGGAAATAAGAAATTCACGAGAATGTATTCATATAGACTGCAGAATACTATTTCTCTATCTCGGATTTAATAAACATGAAAAAGAAAATGTATATATAACAAAATAATTTCGGTTTTCAGGGAATAGATGGAATGCAGTGTGGGAAGGAATCATAGTTGAAATCTTACCAGACAACTGTCAATCAGTCGGAGAGCTCTACTTATTATGTCCAAGTGGAAACGTATCCAATTTTTGGCATGCCACCGATACTCTCTTTTTGTCCATATTAAGAAGTCAAAACATCTTTCATCTGTCCATGGATCCTTCTCTGACACCAATGTAACTGCCATATAAGAATCCACATTAAATCAACAAATGGCACAAAGGGAGAGTTCCTGGAAAAGCTATTTGTAACTTACACAAAATGTAAAAATTATTTTGATCTATATATGACTTCTTGGATTTTTCCTAGCTATAGAGTTCCAACCAAAGGCTTTTGAAACAGAAAACATGATCCTCAAACCCGATAAACATACAAAGTAATAAACATGCAGGCCCGATAAACAATCAATGGGTTTGATATTTAAGAACAGCTCTTCCCCCACAATTTTCCAGTAAAAGAATATCAAAGACTCCGTTCCTTTGTTCAGTTTGTGTTTTCTTTAGTTTTACATTAAGCTCATATGCTCAAATATTAAGAATTTACAAGATAGATTACGGTGAACACAAGAACAATTATATGAGTAGCTAGAAAACAAGGTAACTTAACCTCCTGCTGCTAAATAACAGATAAATAGAGAAAAAGACTCCATTAATAGAATAAAGACGGTAAATTTAATATCTGTTAACAAATTACCATATTTGATATTAGATATATAAATTGCATAGACTGAAGGAACACAGTTATGTTTTCAGACAAGGGTCATTCAATTAATGCAGTGTGAAATTTATTACTAAACTTAGCTAACTGAATTAACTGCAGAATAAATTCGAGTTGTGACATTTAAGTACTAATAATGGTTAAACTTGATGGAATTAGTAATTATAAATTAGAATCAAAAGTCGCCAACTCAACCACAGAATGTCCAACTACTAAGCTTCGAGGGAAATTTTTCTTATAAGCTCGTTTAATTACCAAAGTGACTGTTTTGAATGCCGATAATTAAGGTTTCCATTACCATACTGACAGAATATAAGCTTTTTGTCTTCTTACCATAACCATCACTTGCATATTAGTCCTAAAAATCTTAATTCACAATACTAGGTCGGCGATTCTTGTGGTCCTAACTAGTCTAAATCGATCCTCCTTTTGTTTCATTAACTGCTTACAGACTAAAAATAGTGAAAAGTTTTGAAATCTAAATGTTGTATTTCTACCATTTTTACCCGAACCCTTGATGATTCTAACACTTAAGATTTTAGATTTTATGCTAGACCAATATTAAACATCAGCTATCAATTCTTTTACCAACAGCAATCATCTCACTTCAAGAACATATTGTTTAAAAACATATACTGTAGGGTTGGGAGGTTTCAAGCTTGGCACTGATTTTCTTTTCTTTTTTTCCCTAAAAGTTTACAAGACTAAGAATTGAAGGATATACTCTGCTTTCCTCACAACAATTGCCTATGCTACTTTTATTCGGGTGCAAGTGTCGGGCACAGGTATGTGTCCGGCACAGGTATGATTAGAAATTTCTATGTTTTTCCATATATTTGGAGGATCTTTGGGGGTCATATCCCCATATCCAAGTGTCGGCCATGAGTGTCAGACACAAGTACTTAGTGAAAAATGAAGAGTCCAAGCAACATAGATTACGTCACAAAATAAGAAGAAATATTCTTCATAGTTTTATCAGTAATATTTATCAATGAATTGTTCCCATCTTTGATAATAACACCTAAGGTTTAAAAATTAAAATCGTCTTTCCCATATAAGAACAACAAAGCTCAAAAACTTTTGAAGAACCATTGCATAAATATAGTTTTTTTGGGCCAAATTGCATAAATAAAATTGAGAGCGTCCATCAGTGAACCTACTTATTAGTACTTATCAGGGTTGAGTCACATGCATTTCAAGTTCATGGAAGATTATTATGATTTCAGGACAAAGATTAACATAGGTACTATGGTTTGATTTTCCAACTTATACCCAAATTGTATGTAAACATTCCTAGGGTACTGCAAAGTAGCATAGCAAGTTTACCAGAACAGGCACTTTGAGAGTTTAACTGATAACAGAAAAACGATAATTAGAAGTTTTCCATCCAAAAAGGAACAGGCTTCTTTGGCTTATTAACATACTAGTTCGCCGACGGACAACAGCATGTATAAAAGGAACTTCCAACACCTTAGATGAAAAGCACAAGGTTCACAATGGCCTTTGAAAGCTAAAGTCAGTTTCAAGCATCAGTTGATCTCTGGAAAAGAAAGTGTGAAATCTTAGGATGATAAACAACAGTTTCTAGACCAAAGATAAAATCCACAAACACATCAGGAAACAAGATTATGTAATCTTTCATTATACCATCAACTGAGAAACCACTAATCCCCATGTCTGTTAGAAATCGTTCGTATAATGAGAGAATACAATCCATTCTACTGAGTTGAAAGATTAAGGTTTACCTTGACAACATTATATGCATCAAAATTATACTCAAAATACTAAATCTGCCAACACTAAGTAATGTTTTATACCATATCGTTACGGAAACAAGAATTATGATTATTATGATGTTACTATTATTACCATTGGTATCATTGGTATCATATGATAATCCTATATGCAGCCTTATCCTAGCATATGGCCGACCTTTACATGAAATGCATCAACCATTGGACCACAGACATATTACATAGATTTGAAGCAGATTTTTCATGAATCACTAAATTAAGGACTACAGACATCAGCAAATGTTATCTGACACGGACTCTCTAAATAGATAACTTTATCAGCACACATACCTTCAGAACAACATTTGGAGCCTGATACTTTTTGAATCCCATGAACAATTTTCCATCTTCTTCTCGTTTATAAAATGTAACTGAAAATTTCATCACTCGGTCACTAGCTATTAAAATCGTAAATCTTGGGTGAAAAAAAATAAATCTCGAAACTTCTGAAAATATTTCAGATAAATTAAATCACAACTGGATATATTATCTTCTAAGTGCATGAACTGTCATTACTAGATTTAAAACATATTTTTCAAATACTTCCAATGATATTGATGTATCCGAGATGTCAAGCACAGCTAAGCTCAAATTTGCTAAAGGATTGGGACAATATGGTAGGATAGAAAGGAGAAAAGTAAAATATATGATTCAATTGCCAGATCCACCGAAAAGGAAAACTCATCTTGTTAAAAAGGGAATAGAATCAATAGAAACTTATATCAATTACCTGTATCACCTACTTCCCATTTCATCAGGACCATGTAGTCTTTAAGCCCTTCCAAAAGATACATTTTTCCATTACTATTTGACCAGTAATGGAAGTAAAGTTCCCAGTCATTTCCTTTTGTGTCTTGCACCATGAGGAAGATTCCTTGTTGGCCCGAAATATTTGGGAAATACACCTGCGGTAGTCTCTTTCAATACAAGAAATATATACTGGAGCTCAAACATATATATGAAGAGCGGCTATGCAGCTTCTTTTTTTGATAAGAATAGGAGGCCTCGTTAAGACCCCCTTCTTAACTGTCCATTCCCCAAAAGGAAAACAAACAATCAGTGGAAGGAGGAAAAGAGTGACTCAAGTTTTATTATAATAAGGGTTTAAATACCCAACATTACAACCAGAAACATTGCTAACCCCGTTACAAAGATAAAACCCCTCTCTCAAGTATCCCTATCCTCAAACAGTTAAGCGTAAGTCGTGCAAAGAAAATATGTAAAATATTAATAGAATCTTAAATTAACATAAATGTAAATGATGCATTTAAAAAACTGTTAAACCACAACAGTAATCAAGAAACTTAATTTTCTTCCAGTTCGTACAAAATTAAGAAATTAATACATATGTATCTATATGCAAAAACTTACCTCCGCACACCTCTTTGGTAACACTAGACGCCCATTCCTCATGTCAGCATCACTAACAGTCAATTCTTTCGAAAACAAAGGAACAAGACTTGATTTTGACCTAAAAAATAGTTAAGGATTCAAAATTTCAAAGACATCAGGTTGAAAATGAACCAGGATAATGCATTTAAGCTATAGTAAGATAAAATGTCAAAATAACAACAATAATAGACGTTAGACTAAATCTAATATCATATGGTACGCAACCACATAATCCTTCAAAAAAAGGTAAACAGCACATTAGATATAAACTGAAGGTTAGTGGATACTCTCTGCATATTTCCCTTAGCTCCGCTGGAGTTGTCTTTGGCGCGTACCTATATTGTACTTGAGTCTGGTTATGGGTACGTTTACGACGCTTGCCACCATTCTTCCGACGAGACCTTTTGGTCTCAGCAGGTGAATTCACAGAGTCTTCTTCTTCAATTTCTTCTAGAGGAGATTGAGCTTGAGGTTCAAATCCAGGAGTAGTTGGAATGGATACCTCATTAGGTGAGACATTGCGTACAACACATCCAGGTGGTTTAATTGGATAGACCCCTAATTTAGTTCCAGCAACAATAGATCAAGAATTAGTTTTCCTTCCTAGTGGAAACCATATAAATTACAAGCTATTGCTATGAGTGCTGAAGAAGAGTAGTAAGATAAAATTATGCAACTTCTGCTTGCATTCCTTATCTGTTTATCGATGAAAAGAATAAAAAAATACTCTTTCTATCCAAAACACCTCCCACAATCACTTGGACATCAACTCTAAGACGGATTAAGCTCATCATTTTAGCCTATATTACATTTTTTTAACATGAACAATATTTCTTTTCTAATTTTAGGTAGGTCCAAAAGGTACATTATATTAAAACTTTTACCCGTTATCGTTTTCTCCGGGTCAGCAGATGGTACTTGAGGAGAGTCCGTTGCTTGCAGCATATGCTGAAGGGGCCCGATTTCTGGTGAGCATGCCTGAAATAGAAAATGTTCATTTAAACTTAGAAAAGTTTATATTTAGATCAAGAAGGAATAAGAAGAATTCAACAAAATATACTTTCATTTGAAGTTTGGAACACTTACTTCAGGATGATGGCATTATATATATATTATGAAATTCGGTATAAAATGTTAGCTACAGGTGAAAAGGGCATGAAAATATAAAAGATAGAATGGCCAGATAGTTGACTCCTACCCAAGCTTCATTTACGGCACAATTCAGACATTGCACACCTCCGAAGTCCAAAATTGTAAACGTTTGGGATGCCATAATACATCCACAATGAACTCGCTACAACAAATGGAAGAAAAATCAAGCATTAGAGAATAAATTTTGCAGTCTCGAAAATAATATTGGGGATAAATAACCTAATAGAAATGCTACACAATCACCTATATACCTGGAAAAAGAAAAAGCAAAATCGATAAGAATTTCATGTTACCTTCCTACAATAAGTACACTCTCTCCAACCAGTGGCGTCAGGGTGAAAAGTATGACAGAATCTTCCATCTCTATAAGTGGTTCTGAATTTGCAAAAAGCTGAGTCAGTTTCTTTATGACACCAAGGAGAAAAAGAAACACAAAGGATTCTAAAATAAGGATGCTATCATCAATTGAAACTTAGGATACAGAAATTTCTACGAACCACATCGGTGCATGCTCCAAAACTTGAACATTGAATTCATGATGTCAAAAGCAAAGTTTAAGAAAATGTTTTCATATTGTGAAAATACAAACAAACACAAGTAAATCAATACATGAAAAGAAACAAACTGTGCCAGCCAAAAATGAAAAGCAGCAATTAAGCGTTAGATGACTGCAACAGTCCAAGTAAACATTAACAATCAGTTCCAGGAAATAGACAATTCCATGCCATCATTAGTATGCAAATAATTCAGCCTGAGAAATTCGAGACAATATTAATATATTTGATACCTTCATAAATGATGCATTTTACTTTATTAAAGGCTAGTGCATGTGCGAACAACCAATTAATAAGTTTCTAAAGCGACAGTTGAATGCATTGTCACTAAAGTAGAACAAATACAACCCCGTTTAATCATCTGATGCCCGTATGACTACGCACTATAACTCTAACCGCAGTTGATTTTTTATAACAAACCAAGAGGCAGTTAGAGTAAGGGAGGAAGGGCAAGTAAGGAAAAACAACCAATTAATAAATAACTTCTAGAGTGACAAATGTATGCAATGTTACTAAAAGTAGAACAAATACGACGTCGTTTTATCATCTGATGCCCGCCTGACTACTCATTTTAGCTTTATCCACTAGTTTTTAACGACACACCAAAAGATTTCAAAAAGCATGCCGAAAAGGACTTTTTCTTGGTTTTTCTACTAGATAAAATTAAGCCAGCTATGATGTGCAACTCATCATTTTTTTCCGAAAATGCCATAGTTTTGGACCAACTTTGATAAAGGTTTTAGAACATCCATACTCAAGTGATACATAGATTTGAATACATCGAACACAAAAATAGAAAATATAGATCGCTCTTTCCTTCCTAAAACTTGTGAACATGTAATATTCATGTCTCCCAAAATTTTCTCTCTAATCCAAGGAAAAAGGAAATTGAACATCAAAGGCCCAATACCTTGGAATATGTTCTTCCTCTTCCATCAATGACAAGTCCAATTACTCCAACCAAACCAAGACTTTTGATTGCTTATGTTGAATGTGTAAATTAGTACAAAGAGGATAGAGGAAGAACAAAAGGCTATGACCCCCAAGTATGCTAATAAGCATTTGACTATCTTTAAATCAAATGCTAAATTGTACTCATAAAAAGCATGTCTCTCTTCAATATGATCTTGTTAGGCTATTTCTTTCGAAACGGGTCCGGCCATCAAACTTGTCAACAATGAAGCCAAAATAACAATTTCAAGTAGATATAACTTGATAAAGGAAAGAATATCTGCCCAACACCCAATTATGATTTGCTACAATGGTATATCAAGGTATGTACTCTCTCATGATGAGACTTATCTGTTAGGTCCCTTAGAGTATACTCAATACATGTGAAATGGTTATTGTTTCCTTGAAATCGTTTTTTAATGAACGCCAACACAACCCATAATTTGAAAAGCTATTTTAAGTTGTGTTGATACAAAAAAGATTGGATGGCAGTGATAGGCGGTTCACCTAGTTTAGTACAAAGTGGAGATCTATTGGGAAAGGTGGCGGGAGTAGAGGGAAGAGAGAGAGAGAAGGTGTGGATTGATAAGCTGCGAAGAAGATGGTCACTTGGACCCTCTCTCTCCAATTCTCGAGTCTTATATAGTTGGGGGCCTCTACCTCGAGGTGTCAAGTGGAGAAAAATCATTGGGATTGGAGGCACGTGGGATGATGTGATTGGCCTAGGTAGCTTGGCACCATGATGCAGTTTTGGTCCATTGGTTCTTATTGGAATTGATGCAGAAGTCGATGTGTAGCACCTGCATGGCAAAGCAAGTTGTAGCGGAGCCGGAGGTGCCTCTCTGGTGGAGTGTCTCCAGAGGGTTCTTCATTGTGCCTTCCGAGGGGGTATTTAATGTAGCTTTATGGCGGAGTCTAAACTAAATTCTACATTTTTAACGCCATAAAAGATACATTTCTATTATGAAATGTATTATTACAAGAAATAAACTTTCCTAGATAATCATATGGTTAGTAGCTACCTATTACTCATAAAGGAAAGAGCTCGATAAAGAACATTCTTTTAAAATCTTGATACAGAATTACCAAAGATGTCTGGTGCCTCTTAGCAATTCAACTTACAAAATCAAGTTTTAACTGACGACACCTAAAGAAATTCCTAATCCAAACAGCCCTAGAATCAGAATTGCAATTCATAGTCAGACTAGCCATTTCTATTAAACCTTTTAACAGGTTTAAAAAAAGCCTCCATATAAAATGATCTCTTTCACAATATGATTAAGTTTTAACATACATATATAAACTATATGAAAGAAGCTTCTCAGGATATGAAAGATAGTCTTATTTATCCAATTAGTTGGTGAAATAAGGTAGATTATCATGAATAAAGTGAATTATCATCATGATTTTGTGCTTGATGTCCCATATTTTATGAAAAAGGCCTCAATGTATATTCAAATTTATGAAGAAATAATTTAAAATAACAGAAATTATAGTAAGATCTTTTATTGTTTCCAGAAATGCTTGTTGCAAACCTTCTGTTAACAAATTTCTCAAACAAATAAACAAGCATGTAAATGAAATAAGAGTGGTTCACTCCACCGGAAGGGAATAGAAGCGATGGAAGTTGTCAACGAGAATAGCGTATCATATAATTGGATGAATGGGGTGCCTAGGACAAACATAAAAGCAACAATGGCAATAGAAACAGAGCTTACTCCATCAGTTTGCCACGTGATATCCTATTTACAACTAAATCTAGAATCTCTAGTTACGTTCATTGGTAACTGTATCACCAACTCATCTTGATCACCAACAGTTTGTGTGTGAAGACTGAGAATAGCAGCAAACACCAGGATTTCTTGGCCATTTTTCTTCATCTTGATCTCCGAACATACTCCGTAGAAGGAAAAAAGAAAAGGCAGAATAGAAAAAATGGAGAGTAAAACCCTCCATAAAACAATACATTGACTCGAGATAAGTACTAAAATATGGCAAGTACTTGCTCTTGTCATAGAATTTAGATTAACAAAAAGAACAGAAGAAAAAACACTAACAGAATCCATGTCAAAAGAAAGGATAGCATATTAGCATGTATAACAAATATGCCTAAACAGCCTAAAACAAAAAAGATATCAGTGAAGAAATTGCTCAATCCAAGTGGGATACACTTTACAAGCAGGTGAAGAAATAACCTTCCTGTGTGTGTGTAGAGTTCTTAAAAAACAAAACTATACTTAAACTCAAAGCAATCCATATCAGAAAGCAGTTTGTCTTACTACTACTCTTCTGATAAACCAAAGTTTAAGTGGCCAACCATTATCAAACCACAAATCAACATGAAAATTAGCAAACAACAAACTTATTTCATCCCAAAATTAACATTAAGCTTCATTACTTCCGGTGGCGGATCCATAAATTTAAGAATGGGGTCCAAAATTTTAATATTCTTTTCTTAAAAATAACGGGTAAGCAAAATTTTTTATTTTTTCTATTTTCCCTTAACATATTAAACTAAATTTCACCTTTTGTTCCTAAATAATGGGATGCACTTGGCCCCTAGGGGGCTTAATGTATCCGCCACTGATTACTTCGAATTGAGTCAAAACACAACAATTCCAGCTCTTTTTTCCTCATTTTACCCTCTCACTAACACAACAGCATTTTATTCTTGGGGACAAACATGGAAAAAGAAAACTAATTATCCCACTTTTCCTAATATGTGTTTGAGGTCTCAAACTTCTTAAATGAATTCAAACTAATTATCATTGTCTTTAACTTCACTACAGACATTTCCATTGGAATTTCCAATCAAACAAAACAGAAATTGAGACGAACCCAATTTTGATTCAACAGGTTTGATTGGGAATCTGTATAAACTGGTTTATTGAAGCTAAAGACAACGGTTAAATAAAAAACCCAACTTTATCATATCTAAATACAAAATATAAAAACCCAACACAAAACAAAGAAAAACAACATGCATTGGAAGAGAAGTGAGATTTGCAGTGAAAGAGAGCGTAAAAAGAAAAGCTTACCCACAGATACGACAGAGCATAGCGTAACCGCCTTTACGAAGTTTCCAACCGGAGATGAGCCTGTCACTGTCAGTCAGAGCATTGCAGTAAAAGCATCGGTGGCTCATTGAAGAAGGAGAAGCCATTTTCCTCGATAAACAGTGAAGGAGAAAACAGAGGGGGAGCTTTGAGTTGCTGTTTTGCTTCTCTTTGAAAATGATAGTGACAGTGAAAAGAGTGAAGAGCAAAGCAAAGGGGTATCTGAGAAAATGACGGTTTTTTAAGATTTTGGAAATATTTGTCAGAATTCTAGTCGTGCTGACATCGACATAGCCCTGCCCCAGCTAAGCTATACTAGTGTGCTGTTCTTCGTAGCCTTATTCAGAGACTCTTCATTGTTTCTAGACCGTTGGCTTTGATCTAACGGTTGAGAAGTAGTTATGATTTTGGCTTTTCTTTAATAATAATTATTAGTAATATTATTTTTTTATTAATTTGGGATAAATACAATACAATATATATTAAAAGATAAACTCCCAACCTTTTGATATTAAAGTCTCACGCCCCTAACATATATGGTGCTCGAACCCGGATCCTTCAAAAATAACAACAATTTATTTACTACGAAAGTCACTTGGTTCGTGCTAGTAGTATTAGTTTTATTAACTTGAGTAATTTTAGTATGTAATTAAATAATTGTTGTCTCACTTATTTAAACTTAGTATAGAATTAAAAGATCTAACAACTTTTCAAATTTGATTTTTAAATTATTTTTTAATTGAATTAGTTTACCCTATTTTCGGAAAAACCCAAGTTGTGTAGTAATTAATAAAAACTAGGGTAAACTACTTATTTAGTTACTTGTCTTTAACTGTGTTTCTATTTTCGTCATTCGATTAATTTCCCCTTCAAAATCATACCTAATATTACGTTTCATTTCTATTTTGGTCACCTTTTCGTTATGGATAGTCACGGGTCGGGTTTCAACCCACCTGAACCCGACCCGAATAATAAACCACTCAACCAATGCTACTTCACCAATTTCATTAAGTCTATGATCAAACCTAACGACACGTGATCGAAACAGAAGCATTATGTATAATCTTAAAAAAAATGTAGTTAGATGACCAAAACAGAAGCACAACAATACTTATGTGACTAGATGGGCAATTTACGTTAAGATTTATTATTTTATAAAATAGTATAGAAATTTAAAAGTACATAGATATAGAAACAGATGCATGTCATGTAAATTTAAAAGGTGTAGACAGGCAAGTTTGTAGAGGATTGCAACTTATGGTGATATCGAAGCTGTTCGAGAGATTAAATGAGACAGATTCCTTTCCCTCCTTACAACAGGTGTGGCTGTGTTCCCTCACCGGTTACATGCAAAAGATGCTTCTCACGTTTCAGCTTCATCAAGCTCTGCATATGGAAACTTTCATTATAACTAAAAAAATGTCTTCGTAAAGGATTAAGGCACCCTTTGGATCTAACTGATCTCACGGCCCAGTGCGTTTGATGCATTTTGTTACATGAACTCGACCAAACTCGAATCAACTCGAACGAACGAGTATGACGGAAACTCTATTTCAGAACATTCTTCTATTGCAATGGAATACCCTCAATCTTCAAAAATAATTTCAGCACATCCCGATTGTAACTGCAAAATTTGTAACTGTTGTACAAGAACCTAATCTTAGCTAAATTTATAAAAGTTCAACAGGATCGGATTAGAAAAGACGGCAAACCAAGATCATTTGGCAGTAAAACTCTTAAAAATACTTAACAGTAGTTTAGCTGATTGAACTCTTGATTTCTTGTTCTCGACCTTGGAGTTTTTCTCGGCATACTTCTCGTTCTTAGCAATAGCCTTTTCCACAGACTTCGCCTTACGAACATTTTTCGATCTCTTCATGTGTCTTCCCTTTTTTGTCTTTCTGTTTTGAGATAGGTATATTTACCCGTAAATCACACTATCCCCAAGAATGCAATCAGATCAAACTGATAGAACATTAACAATAATGAGCTTTCCAAATGCTATTATATCCCCAGAACTTCAAGCTAAATACAACTAAAAGACTCCACCTAGAATGCCAACCTAACATATACACAAACATGTATCTACTATCTATATGCGTCTGCCAAACAAAAGATTTTAACCATTGATTGATTAATTCCTTCTTAAGTTCTTTAGTTTTTTGTCAAAACTAACAGAAAATGGAGTAGACAAAGTAACACCTACAGTTTTGGAGTTGCAGAACCAGGCTTTTGAACTCCAGTCTCTGAAGTGTCCATTGCTGTAAATAAGCCAAAAATTGCATTAAAATGTGGAGTTTTTCCATGAGGCCAGTGGCGGATGCATTCATGCCCGGGAATTCGGATTTTCATCGATTAGTTATCTGTTTTATTGATGGTGTCTACTATGAAATTTTATTGTGTCCACCCTGAAATCTAAATTTTCTTCGATTAGTGACTCATTTTATTGATAGTTTTTATCCTAAAATTTTATTTATGTTTACCTCATTCAAAAAATTTATACCGTTAACATATATGTGCCCATACTCAAAAATATTTTTAAATCTACAAGTTGCAATAAGAAGAAATGTTAAATTATGAATTGAAGTTATTTTTGTTTCTTTATTATCCTTTAAAGATTGGATTTTAACATGAAAAAATAAAAGATGAAAGCTGCCTTGAGGAAGCTCAAGAACAGTTCCTTCGTTGACGTCCATTGAAGCGACACCGTTTCTCTTCTTCTTGTTCCTGTTTTTCGCCATGTCTATGCGATTTCATAGATCACTGATCAGACAACTGAAAAAAAAGTTTAATATTAAAATAAATTATTTTTTAATATATATATATATATATATATTTGTGTTGATTCATATCGAATCAGACATAAATGTATCTCAAAATTTGAGTTAAAATTTAAATCAGGTCAGGTCGACTAAAAATCTGACCTAATTCAACTTGTTACTATTCGTAGGCCCAGTAGTCACTAAGAAATGGTTGTTAAAGCAAAAACATCTATCAACTAGTTGTTAATTTATCCGAATGAGATGCTAGACTTATTAAATAATGTTTGAAATTTGAATATTGGTGCTAGAAATAGAATAAATTGAATCGGAAAAATTATTTCGTAATAAATTTCATATTATACTTAAATTGAATTAATCGAACGGTAGTAAGGATGTGAAATTAGGTAATTGTTCAGGTTTCAATCGGATCCTGTCAAGTTAGGTCAAATCGGATACAGGTTGTGTCAGTCAATTTAATGGTTCGACTCGGATCAAGTCGAGTCCATGTCATTTTCAGGTTGATTTGAAATCAGATTCAGTTCGATTTTGGGTCGGGTTAATTTCGGTTCGGATCGATGTTAATTTAGGTCAAAACGGTTCAGGTCCAATCAGTTAAATATCGAGTTAATTCAAGTTTGGATGGACTTTATGTCATATCTCGTTCAGATCGGGAAACATCGTTGAAAGACAAAAATTAAGTTGGGTCTTACCGGGTACGAATTAACTTCGAGACGGGTCATTTTTGGGTTAATTATTTTTTCGCCTTTCATGAACGTCAAGTTGTAATTTGTAATCGTATATGATTTGGAGTAAATTACAAAAAAGTTATGCATCAATTTTGATAAAAAATCATTTTAAGGACTACATTGAACAAACGTGAAATTACAAGCTGAAATTTCAATAATTTAAACAACATACATAGATGATGGATCAAATCGAAATAATTATAAAATGTGAAGTTGAAATTCATATAAAATGGACTAAATTATGTCACATTCATAGACAAAAATGGATTAAATTACATCTATTTAAAAAAGTTGGTTAACAAAAATTTATAGGGTTAGGAGGTTAATATATAATATATAGAGTTTGAAATGAAGTTTACTATGTGATTTATAGAGTTTTAAGTAAATTACGAAAATATAAATAAGTATGGGTCAATTTCATATGCAAATGTAATTTTAAGGACTAAATCGAACAAATATGAAATTACAAATTAAAATTTAAATAAATTAAACTACACGCAAGGATTAAATCGAAATAATTTTAAAATATAAAGCTAAAATTAATATAAAATGAACTGAATTGCTTTCATTTTAAAAGTTGGGAACAAAAGTTTATAAGGTTTTGAATATTATAATATAATTTTAAAGACTAAATTGAACAAATATGAAATTACAAACTATAATTTAAATAAATTAATCAACATGCAAATATATATATATATACACTTATGCATATATAAGTGCATATACACTACATATCATTCATCAGTGGCAGAGTTATATGCTCTTTAGGGCGAGTACTAAAATTTAAAATTAGTTTATTAAGTATTTAATTTTTATATATGTGCTCACCCTAAAATTAATTTGTGTCTACTCTAAATTTTTTTTGCCCATTTTAAATTTATTTATACTCAAAAGATAACTAAAAAGCTTATTATAAATATTATTTTTGTTTGGGTTTAAAAATCCATTCATCAAGCCCGAATAAAATAAAACAAAATATATATTTAGTTAAAACTCAAATCCAATATGCAACCTAAATTTAATATACAATCAAAATCCAATATCCTCAATCCCAATAGCAACGGGTTAACCAACCCCTCCAAATTCAAATTGCATCCAATACCAAAAAACGACAATATCATTACATTTTCTCAGATTTCAGCATGATTGATCTAGAAAAACTCCAATACTATAATAAGTGTAATACTCATAACCCGTATACATCTCGAAATATGAGTCAAAGATGTCACATCAACTTGACAGATATTCACTTAGCATAAATGCTTAAAATTTTGTTTCGTTTTTAAAAACATTCCTATTCCAACTTTAAAATTATTTTCTTAATCACATAAAATCATAAATTAATATTTAGACATTCAAAACAAACTTATTTTCGGGCAACGATTAGACAATTTAGTGATGTTTCGCAAACTAGTTAAAATTACCTAACTTCTACTAAATTTTCAAACCACTTAAAAACACAATATATTTATATATTCATAAATACTGATAAAACTAAACTGGCCACAATAAAATAGTCCTATTTAACTATTATAGACCATTTAGAAACAAATTCGATAATTAGACCTGTTGACATAATTATACATGCCACTAAAAGCCAAAAGTAACATCATATATATCTTATTGATACTGATAATAAGTATGACTTCCAAAAAGATGCTCAGAAGGCTCCTCACTTCTTGTCCTTATTTATATCAGAACCTACGCATGAAAATTATCACGTGCTAAATATAACTTAGTGATGCAGTAATAAGCTAAGGTGAGATAGAACATGAAAATATCATAAATATAAACAAAATAATTTAAATAAAACATTAAAAAAATTGCAAACCGACTTATTCAATTCGATTTCTTCATCGTAACCTGAAATTCATCTGAATTCATGATTTCATAAAAATCATAATAAATAATATCAGTTAAAATAATCATATTATACTTTATGTTTGTCGGGATTCATTGAAGCTCAAATTAATCAACCGAATAATTTGCCAAGAGGGTGTGAATTGTTTTTTTTTAGTTTAGGGAGTAATGAGTATAAAGATGAAACAATTAGCACAAGAATTTATAATGGTTCGACTTCTCAACCAAGTCTACATCCACTACCTAAGCTCCTCACTTAAGATTTTCTAACAAATTCACTAATTTGTTCTTTCTTTTTCCAGGATAAAGAGATAACATTTACAACTCCCTAGCTTTTCAAAGGCTAAGCTAGAACCAAACCCCTTTTTCAAAAGGTTAAAAGAATTAAATAAGAAAACCTCTCAAAGGTAGGGTGTTTACAAGAATTAAGTTCACAAGAAAACAATTAAAAGATTTGCAATGATCTCAAAACACTAATATTTACAAGAAAAAGGAAAAAATAAGAATGAAAAGCTATTCTCTTGTGTTTGATTGCTTGGATAGGTGTTGTAACCTTCTTCAAGTGTCCTCAACTTGTTTTTATATGTTATAATGAGTTTGTGGTCGTTACTAGCCGTTGGGGATTATTTTTCTGCAAAATAAAACTGCCCAAAACATGGAGTATCGATACTCCTTTAATGAGTGTCGGTACTACCTTTTAATATTTAAATAAACTAGTCGTTGAAGATCATTGGGCTTGACCAGTATCGATACTATGCTTCATGGTATCGATACCACTGTGTAAAGTAGTATCAGTACCCCTTGAGTATCAGTACCTAATTTGCATTATGGAATTTGAGCAATTTGAAAAACAATTGGTAGTATCGATACTAACTAGAGAGTATCGATACTTCTCTTACCTTTGGTATCGGTACCACATAAACAATATCGATATTGCTCATGTAGTATCGATACTGTAAGAACAGTATCGATACTAAGTACCCAGAAAAACAGTTTTGAGCTCATATTTTAGTTTAATGGACTTTGAATTATTTTTGTAAACTTTGAACAAATTCAATCCAGTCCAAAAACATTTTGCCTTAATTTGTTATATCAAAATATTATAAAACATGTTTCAACACTGTTAACTTGATGTAATTCATAACTTCCATACTCATTTTCATAGCCCAATGTATATTTATGAGAAAACAAGGTACATGAGTAGAAGATAAGGTGCGCACTAGGCACATCACTGTGCCAATCATAGCGTATCATAAGATACACTTCAAGTGCAAATCATATCATGTGGACTCATGGTGAAAATACATAATATACAAGAATGTACCATAACTTGAATTTACTCAACTTAATGACATGTCAAATGTACCTATAACTCTCAATGCAATATACAATGTGCTTTTAAACATAATATATTTACACTTATTAATTAATCAGCGTCTAAAAATCATAAACACTTAAAAATTCGTCATCATAAAAATTGTACTTGGGCAGTTCATACACTAAATCGTTTATAAAACTAGATGAAAATTGTAACAACCCAATTATCGGGTCAGTGAAAAAATGTAAGAACTTCTAAACTCAATGGTTGAATTAGAATAATTTGATAATTCAATGATTTATGGTGGAATTTTCTATTGATGGAAAATTGTTATATTAGAGAGGGCAAAATGGTCTTTACATAGTAAGGGATAAGTATCTCCTTTATTAAGTATTGGCACATGGATTTTGGGAGTATCTGGAAACTCCTTCCTTGCACTTTCTTCTTTTACTACGTGAGTTCCATTCCACAATGTAAGAATATGAATCTTGGTTGTTCCTTTAATTTTTGGTTTGGTAATGGAAGTAGGGGTGTTATATAAGCTTAAGTAAAGCTTATATAAGATTAAAACAACAAAATAAGTGAATTTGAAAGGATTTTGTAAACTAGGTTTAGAAATGAAATTTTGTTATGGAGTAGTTTTGAAGTTTTAATGAGATATTTGACTTGTCAATAGGCTAATTAAAGGGTTAGGAGTGTTAGAATTTGTTAATAACATGTTTGAAATCAGGGTATGATTTTAAAATTCAAGTGTTCAACGGGAATTTGGATAATTAAGAGTGGTAAATGAATACTAATTGGTGTGGAAATATCAAGGTGAGTTCAAAGGCTTAAGTTATGTGTATATGAGAGAGTTGGGAGGATTTTTTTGGTGATTTTCGGGGGTGAAAATGACCATTCTAGGCTTCGAGTGTCAGTACCCTTATGAACAATAACAATACTTCCTGGGTTAAATATGAATATGTTGTAAGGGTAGTATCGATACCTGTTGAAGAGGTATCGATACCTGTTGAAGATGTATCGATATTGTAAGGGTAGTATCGATACCTGAAGGATGGTATCGATACCCTTAAAACATCGAATGCCTGATTGGTATCGGTACCTTGAGGAG